ATAAACCATCGCATACGACGTCGTATGTCATGGCTAAAAAACCGTATGTTATGGTTAAGTGAAAATTTGTCAAAAATATCATATTTTACCACTGATTACAAAAATACCGTTTTTATGTTCACATGTTATCCTATGAATATCATGCTAACTATGGAATAAATTAAAATATTCATTGTAGATATCCGCTACATCACAGATAATTATATGGTGTTTTCATTCACTAACGTATGAACTGGAATATACGTAAAACAAAGGGTATACATAGCAGGGCCGTAGCCCGCTTTCAACCAGCTGAGGGGGGGGACTGCGATCGTAGTATTTTAAAAATTGGTGCAACCTCCTTCAAAATTGAGCTAGAAACTTTAAAAAGCATTCTTAACCTCTCATCTCTTTTTTGGTTGTATTTTTGGGGTGGGGTTGAGATCGCACCAACCGCAACCCCCTTAACTCCTTGCAGTAACGTTAATTCAAGTGCCTTTAAATTCGCAAGATACAAACCACAAGACAATACCTCAAACAGTTTTGAAACTCTATCAAAATTGATAACAAATAGTTGTTCTCACTTCTTTTATAATCAATCGATCTATATTTGTTAAAATTTAATTTCAAAAAAGATATTTCAATTTTTGAATTTCTCTTGTAAAAACGCATTTCACCCAAAACACATTTCATCTTGGTAAATCTCAGTATCAATAAAAGAACCCTTGATTAAACATGGTATATTTAAACTTTTTTGAGTCAACTAGACTGTATTTCATAAAATTATTTTTGCAAAAACACATTTTTTACCCAAAAACTTACTTCGACACCTATTTCATCTTGGCAAATCTCAGTATCAACAAAGGGACCCATTGCCTTTCAATTATATACCATGATTAAGCTGCTCGTCAAAATGTTAATGGTGTCATCATGTTTTGAACACACTCGTTTTAGTCGATATTGCATGCAAATCACAAAGAAAAAATTATTAAGCTCCCAAAATCCCCCTAGTTGATTGAACATGGTATATTTTGACTTTTGAGAGTCAACTAGACTGTATTTTATATAGTCAATTTTCAAAAATATATTTTTATCAATTTAATTTTTGTTGTTGCAAAAAACACATTTTTACCCAAAAACTCACTTTGACACCTATTTCATCTTGGCAAATCTCAGTATCAATAAAGGAACCCTTTACCTTTCAATTATTAACCATGGTTAAGCTGCTCGTCAAAATGTGTTAACGTTGTCATCATTATTTTGAACACACTCGTTTTAGTCGATATTGCATGCAAATCCCAAGGAAAAAACTATTATGGTCCCAAAATCCCCCCAAGTTGATTAAACATGGTATATTTTGACTTTTGAGAGTCAACTAGACTGTATTTTATATAGTCAATTTTCAAAAATATATTTTTATCAATTTAATTTTTGTTGTTGCAAAAAGCACATTTTTACCCAAAAACTCACTTTGACACCTATTTCATCTTGGCAAATCTCAGTATCAATAAAGGAACCCTTTACCTTTCAATTATTAACCATGGTTAAGCTGCTCGTCAAAATGTGTTAACGTTGTCATCATTATTTTGAACACACTCGTTTTAGTCGATATTGCATGCAAATCCCAAGGAAAAAACTATTATGGTCCCAAAATCCCCCCAAGTTGATTAAACATGGTATATTTCGACTTTTGAGAGTCAACTAGAATGTATTTTATATAATAAGTTTTCAAAAATATTTTTTATCAATTTAAAAAAAAAATTTGCAAAAAACACATTTTTTACCCAAAAAGTCACTTCGACACCTTTTTCATCTTGGCAAATCTCAGTATCAATTAAGAAACCCTTTACCTTTCATTTGTTAACCATGGTTAAGGTGCTCGTCAAAATGTAAGATGTCATTTTATTTTATACATACCTATTCTAGACTATTTGTTAATTTTTGTACTTTGCGGTCACGGTTACGTTGTGAAAAACATCGTTAGCTTAACCTCTCCATTGTCCAAATAGCCCTATACATATCCCAAGTTCGGAAAGGGGATTCAAATACTGATTGGGGAAACAGGATCACGTGATTTTTTTACCGGATAGGTATTGGTGAAAGACTTCAACAGTAAATTATTTCAATCCTTATCTAATAAGTAATCTGAAACGTTAATAGAGGTTTTTATGTCAACTTATGCAATATTTATAGCCCCTCAATCAATTGATGTTAGAATACAAACATGGCTACACCGACTACGCTTACTACGAGGCTACACACGAGCTACATCCATGGGTAGAGTTAGGTACGCGTACGTCATTCGCCGCACTTGCCATTTTGCCACATCAGCTACGTCGGGTACAGGGAAACACTTCCAGAACTACACTCGCTGCGTTGAAGTCCCGGTTGAAGTGCTTGATTTTATAGGTACCTACAGCGCTACACTTCATTATCTAGTTATGTTGATACACAAGCTCCATAAGTTGTTTAGCTACTTACTATACGATAGTTCGGTGCTAAATCAGCTACGTCATGGGTGGAGCTACAGTATGTACATCCTTTGCTATAATTGGACAACTAATCCCCAAGACATTGTCATTTTTAGTTCAAGTTCAGACTTAAAATGATTTTTTCTGAAAACTTCCAAAGTTTCATATGAGTTATTCCGGGATTACAACCAACAACAATAATATGCAACAACCTCAAGCGTTCTCGTATCAGCAGTTATGTAAAAAAGTATACCTGTAGAAATAGAAATATGAAATTTAAGATTTTTTTACGGCTGGGATCACTGGTACTCACCTAGTTACCCTGACGATACGTCAGTGTAACATGGCGGAACTACATCCGGGACCCGGTTTCGGTAAGATATTTTTATTTCTCGATTTACACCAACTTATAAGTCACGTATTGGATAATAATTTGGCTAGAAGTTAATGAAGATAATCTAGTTTGAGAATTTGCTGGTGGTCTTGAGTTTGGTATTCTAACGTAGACGCAATTCACATATTTAGTTCCTAGCTTTTGTTACACTGACGATCGGTATGAATATTGCCAATATTGGTCGTTCGTCAGTGTAACAAAAGTGAGGGACTAAATATGTGAATTGCGTCTTCGTTAACATACCAGACCTAAAAACATCGATACATTCTCAAACTAAACTATCTTCCTTAACTTTGAGCCAAATTATTATCCACAGCGTGACTTATAAGTAGGTGTAAATCGAGAAATTAAAATACCGTACCGAAACTTGGTCCCGGAAGTTGAACCGCCATGTTACACTGACGTATCGTCAGGGTAACAGGTGAGTACCAGTGGGGATTAACATACTAAACGTTAAACTAAGTATATGGATCCAACATATTAGTTGGTATAACTAAGTCCCGACTCCCTCGGGGTTAAATATTTTGTTGGAGTGATATTTTAATACGTCAGAGCTGGAAGTTCCCAATCAATGGCAAGTCAATGAGATTAAATCGATCTCCTGTACGCAAGCAGCATCACAAACACATGTTTATCGAGGTCCTTTTAGATTCTGATTTTAAGTTCCATGGCTTAACGTAAAAATGCCATACGAATATCCAGCGAGTCTTTCTCATTAGGTGAGATCGCTAGAGCCTGAGGTGGAGGATGCTTCAGTCAGATCATCTAAGTTCGGATTATAGAAGATGATGCTCTAATGCATGTATTGATGAACCTATGAACAGGATTATCCGTAGCTGTTCCATACCGTGTTTGCCTGATTCTCCATTACGTGCTCTGTGTTTGATCATCCTGATACTGACTTATCACATCTTTCTGTTTTTAAACATTATAACATGCTTTATGTGTCTGCAACATAACAAATTGACACGGCATCAAAAAAATACAACCCATGTCCGTTCTTGAGGAAGAAATAAGTTTTGATTTTGGCTGTATCTTCGTTAGAAAGATAGCAAACATGTGTAGAGCATAGTACATCTTTACAAGAAGTAATATTAGCAATATATTAGCGCATATACTGGATTAAAGTAGGAAGGGGGTACGGTATTCGGGGAATATAATGGGTGAGAACCAAGTGATCGTGAAAATTTGAGCCGACCGTTAAATCCACCATTGTGGATAACGGTAATTACTGTCTACGTTATCAGGGTATTCTACTGGCTTTATCGTGGACATTATATTCTTTGCATAATGGGCATCATTCTGTTTTGTCAATGTCATCATTTATTGCAGTCATATGAGCAGCTTGGATGTAAACATAATCTCTTTTGTTTTAGGACAACTTTTCACATCCCACGGATTAAGCAAATTATCGCATTATCGTACTTATGTCCAGATTTTAAAAAAGGGGGAAATGATACGGCTTGTTTATCATTACGCTGTTATTGTCTCGATAAGTGGCCTAAGAAGCTCTAAGACAACCAACCTCAAAGCATTCAACTGCCTTACAAATTACGGATAGAATAAAGCATGTCGACGGTCTATTATTCATCTTTTCATTAGCTAATGGGAAACACGAAAGTATAGTTAATCATCATTTTAAGCTTGCTTAGGACTCTGACTGAGTTGGGATGTCCGAACTATGGGTAACCCATGATGTAACGCATATATTTTAGCAACGCGATGCGACTGCGATGATAAGTTAGATTCGGCTAATATTGAGACCTTCTAATCGAATAGGTATCAAACGGAAATGCATTTGTGTAGGCGATGTTTCCTTCGTCGCAAAAGGTCGGATTTTTTTAATTTGCAGAGATTGCGCTCAACCTATTTATCCAGATATCATCGCCACTATTTCATGAGAGCGGAGAGCGTGTTGAACTTTCTCTCTTCCTTTGCTTCGAATGATACGGGCCTTGAGTCTCGCCGTAAAGGCGGAAGCTTTTATCAATCAATCAAAAGGCAAACAGGCGTGTTGATGCTGCAATAGATGACCCGACATGACCAAGAGCACCACTAGAGATGCTTGAGTGTGCTTGAGTGACTGGTTGATCCTCGACTATTGTATCACTTAACATTTACTCAGTTGTAGGCAGTTTAGAATCATTTTGGATATGGTATTCTACAAAGCATTCCATGCGCATTTGCAAGTTGCTTTGAGTGGCAGATGTGTGTTAATATAAAATAATTTCTTATCCAAGAATTAAAAATAATTGACAGAACAATAATTGGATGATTAATTCAGTAGTAGGGATTTGCGATAGAAGTATAGTCATTACTAATAATAAGTCGATCGCGATATGAGCGTATGCATATATGAATGGAGGGACACTTAGCGTGAATATTGTAAGGTACATGTAAGAGTTAGATATGATATGAAAAGGGAAAATGATAAAATGATAATAATCTAAATCATGAGAATGGTACAATCATGTTATTGTGATTGATGAAGCTGTACATAATCGTAAAGTGATCGTATTCGAGTATTCATCATTCTTTGCAGTTACAAAACGAAAGCGCAATAATATCATTTTATGAGGTCTCCCTAGGCCTAGAGGAGAAAATATGGATAATTTAATAATATAATGTAATATCATATCATATCGTATCATATGATATCATAATAATATAGTATAATCGCGATGCAAAAAGTATGCATTTTGTTAAAATATGTGTTGTGTATTTTTCAGGTTCACCATGGTGAGGCGGGCAGTGTTTTATTGTGTTGCCTTACTAGTGCCAGCTATCATATCTCTTCTTCTGCTAACACTTGGCTTTAGCACGGATAACTGGACCATTTACGACCCAGCGGCCATCCGGCCTCCCGACCCTGACCTCATCATCGCCAACCTGACGCATGTCACCACCGAATTCATATTAGTAGCCGAGTCTACCGGATTATTTCAGACGTGTTTAGTATTCAAAAACGTCACCTTTGTTAGGATGATAACTGATAGTGACGCAAGGTTAGATGCAGAATGTGGGGCAGATATGAAAAGATATATGGAGTCAATCTTAGCGAACCCATTGGCATTACCAAGTGCTGCACTATGCTGCCCACCTGGCATCGAGAAATTAGATTCGGTTCCTGCAAAATGTCGACTGGAGTAAGTCGCATGCATGCATTTTTTATTTTAGTTTTTTCTTTGTTATTGCATATATATTGCAGGCAGAATACTGTTCAAGAGCTCAGTCAATGGTTTAATCACTTTACCGGTCACTTTTCCCCCGGAACTTTTCCCTGAATGTGTTTGGCCATCGTGGTAAGCCACGCCCTCTCCATCTCTATCCTTCTGATGCAACAGAGAGAGATGCTATGGGTATCAGAATGGTGTTTGGCGGGAAAAAATCGACTTAATTACTCATATCAATTTGACCTACCTATAGATATCAATTCAATAAATACTTACAAAGTTTACATATCCATCGATAAATGTAAACATAAAATTTATTTTCTGGCAAATGTTTTATGGTTAACGCAACGTTGCTGATTATATTCTGGCGCCACTCGTTTTACTCATTAGATTTAAGTTGCTTCAAGGCGTGACTGAATTTCTCAAATTGCCGTAGACTCGGTAGTTGCCTTGTCAAAATCAATTTCGGAGTGTTGTGATCTTAAACAACATCATTTTCAGCAGGTGTACCTTTGATGTTTACATCGATGACTTGACTGGTTGATGAAATACATTAGCATCGCTTGTTTTTTGAAATGCAATCGCAAAATCTATTTATAAAAGCGTTCTGTATCTTGCTAACTAAGGACGTACATACGGTACGAGCCTCAGAAAAATAAAATAAAACTCACGGTATAACTACTAGTGTAAAAACTTGAACGAAACAAGAAAAACGACATATTTCTACCTGAGCATACACGAGATTTCAAGACCCCATGAGCTTACTTATAACGATCGAAAGGACGAACGAATGTGAACGGAAAAGGGTAGTTCCGCACTTTGAAAGAAACGAAACTTGAAATAATGAGATATTTTACTTTTGAGCTACTGCATGTATTTTATTTATATAAAAATTAATGAAAATATTCACAAATATCGTGTAATTGTTACCGATTTACCATATTTACCTCGTTCCCACCACGGCATCGGCAACTTTCATTGCATAACATTGAACTATGAAATCAATTTTATTTTGACAAAGATGGACGAGACGACCATTTAGAATTGATTTATCAGATGTTTTATTTCCCATTCATCAATCAAATGTTTGAAAAAAGCCCAGGGAAATGGGTAGAGGAAGACTGAAACGCCATGAGGACCTTATTAGAAATCATAATAAAGATAATTGCATAATGTAATTGCAAGCGAACAGCATTATGAAAAATGAATATGGAGAATACATATGTGATAAGTGCGTTACTGAAACTGGATAAGTGAACGTGTATACCCCTCTACATATATAAGAAACCTCGATTCTCTTTAAAACTGTTTAACATGACGTTGTACTTTTTTTTATAGTTTCCATACTTTTAGGTAAGGTGTAGCATAAAGTGTTTTTGCTTTGCGTTTATTACTTACGCCATAATCCATTAGCATTGAACTTGATAGGTCGATATCAAAGTACTTTAATTGTTTATATCAGGTGTCGATCGCGTTTTCCTAATTTCAATGGAAAATAAATATTTCAGAAAGCAACGTGCAAGGACTTAATTGAGAAACGCGATAGTTCGGTTAAGATTGGTTAAAGTGGCTCAACCTAAACTCTTCAAATAAATACAGGGTGGGCCAAAAAGGTAACCCAAATGAATCTTAACTCAGTCATCCAGAATGGGTGTAAAGTCACATTTGGTACAATTGAACCTTGTTCAATGTCATTCAATTAAGTTTTATTGGTCTATTCCAAATGTTCACGAACTTGTGGCCACTTTACAAAACATGCTCAAAATGCTGATCTTGTCATTAGAGGCAAACGTGAACGCACCGTCTGACGACACGCTCACAAATACCTTTTGCGATGGCTCCCATTCCACTTTTTTTCTAATTTCGCTGGTAAGTAAACGGTTGAGTCACTTCAAAAAGCCCAATAATAGAATGTAACACCAATTCTCACTAGAAAAAAGAATTGGTTAAAAAAAGTGATTGTAGAATATTGGTTATTATGTTTGTCCATTTCTTACCATTTCCGATTAAAATACAACAGTATTTACTTCCACATTATGTAATGATAAAAGGATGTAAATCAATTGTTTTAATATATTTTTATTGTTTGCTGAAACTGCTGTAGATGTCAAAGTTAAGACCTCATATATGTCACATATTTTAATGAATAGTATATATATATATATATTTAACTATGCTTTTATATTTCAGCTACAGAGAGATGTCACCATGTACAACACAATATGAAAAACCAGATCTCCATAACTATGAAAAACTGTATTCCACAGCGGACTCCATCTCCCGGAGCTGTCTGGCCTATACCTTGCCTAGCCACACCCCAAATAATTGCTTCACTCACAAACTAGACTTTTCATTCACATCCATCCTCAGCACAATCAGGAAATTATACCCCGAAAAATCTAAAGACCAAATCACACCAATTCAAAATCATGAAGACTACAGCAAAAGACTAAACGCTGCTATACTTAGTTTGTTAGCGATTGGAGTAGGAATCCTTCTAGCAGGAACGATAGCAATGGCGTTGATACTGTGTACAGAAATAAGCCCCACAAAACTATTCGCAACCAGCGGGGTAACGTATCTATTATCGAGTGTGCTAGTTTTAATTGGAATTGCCAGTTTTTCTTATAATATATCATACCAGAAAGCTGTGATTCTGACTGGAGACGTATATGGACAATCGGTAGCTGAGAGATTAAAATACAACAATTGGTTGTTACGTATAGATAAATACGGTTGGTCGTTTTACGTAACGGTTATTTCATGTGGAATAAACCTGGTGAATAGTATGATGACACTATGTATAGCTGGACATGCAAAATACCTACATGCGCAGATAAAAGATGAATCTGTACAGCTAACTGGGTCATTAACTTTATAGGCTGTCGACAGTTTAATATTAGGTTCGTTACCATATTACGAGATACATGTATAATTGTCCATGTATATTACAATTTCTGTTTATGTTGCTGTTCACGTGCGTTCACGTACATTACCATGCTTAACTTGTACATTGCCATTGTTGTTCATTGCCATCCATTGCTGATCAAGTGCATTACCATGCAATACGCGTAACTTACATTACCATTGTTGTTCATTGCCATCCATTGCTGATCAAGTGCATTACCATGCAATACGCGTAACTTACATTACCATTGTTGTACATTGCCATCCATTGCTGATCAAGTGCATTACCATGCAATACGCGTAACTTACATTACCATTGTTGTACATTACCATCCATTGCTGATCAAGTGCATTACCATGCAATACGCGTAACTTACATTACCATTGTTGTACATTGTCATTAATTGCTGATCAAGTGCATTACCATGCAATACGCGTAACTTACATTACCATTGTTGTACATCGCCATCCATTGCTGATCAAGTGCATTACCATGCAATACGCGTAACTTACATTACCATTGTTGTACATTGCCATCCATTGCTGATCAAGTGCATTACCATGCAATACGCGTAACTTACATTACCATTGTTGTACATTGTCATTAATTGCTGATCAAGTGCATTACCATGCAATACGCGTACATTACCATTGATGAGCACGTACATTACCATTGCTGATCATGTACATTACCATGCTTACTATAGATATTTAGTAAAGTTGCTGCATATTAGGTGACGTTTCTCAATATGTCCATCAAAATGTGGCCATTCTATTGTAGCAATGTACTAAACTGTACCAACTGAGATCTATCAGAAGTTCAGAACATAGACTAACAATGCTTTTATGATAACATTTCACTCAGCAGATTTTATTGAGCAATGGAAAAAAAATCTGTTATATGGCTTTTATATGTAAAATGATACCTCATATCGTTTCCTCACAATTTGTTCATATCATGACTTAAATGACAAGTAGACTATTGTTTGAATGTAACAATTGATGTTAAATCGTGTCAAACTGTTTGTTTAGAAATGCTGTTTATTCCTAGTGCAAATATGTACATACAAAGTATTTGATAGTTTTTGCAATACATTTAAACCTTTCAACTTGCGACATTCCTCTAAATTGAACACCTGTGCAATATGAACACCTTTTCTAATTCTTTCCATATGTTTCCATGTTATATCACACCCTTTATGATGAACACCCAACAAACTTAAAAACAATTTTAACTTCATGCCAAAAATGTTCCCTTAATAGAGGTTTTATTGTACATATAACATAACGTACACCCCTCTATAAGTTTGGTAACCAGAAGTCCCAATTGTTTTTTAGCCTTTTAAAGCTTGTTTATTGAATCATAATTTTGTTCATAATGACAACACACATATACGTACACATCATTTGAAAGGGGAATTCCAGCTGCTAAACGTTTCCAATGGAGTGTAAATGTGTGATACAAATCCAAGAGGTAAGAAGATCTGACCAAAGTTGGTTGAAGATGATCCTGAAAAATTTGTATTGTTCTCAATACATCCTCGCTGCAAGGGTATGTTACAAGTATATAAATTATATATATGAATTTAAGCATAAATTAAGTCCTTTGAAGAAGGATGTTCTCAGTACGCCTATATTAACACAACACATCGTATGATTACAAGTGTATCGCATACATTTATTTTTCATTTTTCTACTGATAATATACTTCATAATTGACAATATAATGATTCAGCTTAACAGACAAATCTATAATTTAATATCAAACACTGTGAAAGTCGCACTTAAAAGTACAAGTCATGTAGCAACAATCGAAATTGTAAAACAGTAAATATATTACAAATATAAATACATTTCAAGAAAAGTTTTGGATATTATGTTCTTTAAGATTAAATACAATACAAGTATACATCTAAATTTTGCACCTGTATCAGGAAAATTCAACTATTTTTAAATATACCGGATTTGAGTTATGGATATAGAAAATGGTAAATCCATGTACACTGTACAGTAAACTATATTTTATATCTATATCCACTGAAGCCTGAAGAATGGGATTATTTATCCCATACAACACTATAATCTACTTGTTAAATAAATGTCTATATATTTTTGGACACAACTCTTTTCTTCACATTGACTCTTATGCTTCAATGCCCTCAAACTAGCAATGGCATTCTGATGCAGCCAATTTCATGTATCAGATGTTGAATCACAAAGTTACAGACGATTTCTACAAGTTCATGTTCTAATATTGAGCAATTACATGGCTTTGATAATGAACAGAGCAGACACCCTTTCACAAAATAACTGAATTGCACAGGAATTTTATACAGTTTAGAATATCAACTAGCTTCATGTCAGTTTATGTAATTTGTGATTTATTCCACTCAAAGTCATCCCTGTTTTACATTTTAAAAATTAACTATATCATGAATTGCCGAATCTTGAAAACAATTTCAAATAAGGTCTTATAAATTAATCATCAGTTTAATAGTGTCAACTGAGTTGAACATCTCTATTGAATCATTTCTTGTCTTTTGAGGATTTTAGTATCGATAGTCTTCCAAAAATGTCTGGCTTAATATTTTTTATCAACGATAATGCCTGCCAAACAGACACTTCTGCTGGGGTCAGAATACCACTAGAGCATTGGAAATTGAATTCTTCAGTGCTGGATCTATTTTTATGTAATTACAACTCAAACGAAACAGGATTCATTGAATGTCAGTTGTTATTGAAACGACTCCAAGCATTCTATTTAAGTATCAATAAAGGTAATTATTATACAATTACAATATAAGTAAACATCCTATTTTTAAACCTGATGTGCAACCTTTAAAAACAAAACAGAGAGAAATTAGAAGGAATGATGTAAATAGTCATGAAATGAACACAACATCTAGATACTTTGTTCAGATTTCACAGATGAACGCATGGAAAACCTGTATGTTGGTATTTTTTAATCCATCATGAAATGGACACTTAATTGAAAAAATGCAAATTTGTTCAGAATTCAGAGACCTCTAAATGTAGATATTTTTGCAAGGTGTAAGTTCTTTTTCTGTTTGTTTATTATATGAGAATTGTAACAAAGACCAAATTCTATGATTTAAAGCAAATATTGGAATTTGTCCTTGGATTTTATTCTAATTGCCAAAGCACACAATCCTTTAGCATTTTGTTGCTCTTCAAACATTATCAGAGAAATTATGTGGTCATATATTGCTCTATAAATTATAGAATCTTCGCAGGTATCTAATTATTCCAGCACACGCTATTTACTTCATAAACAATAAATGATAAATAACAATATAAAAACATCAATACGTCAAGAACCAATGTCAATATGTTGCTACGGCATATATGGTAAATACATTACAACTACAATATTATCTGCTCATGCTTATTTCACTCAATTTCCTTCTATAGTTTGATTGAAATAAATTTCTTGCATTTATTTACAATTTAGAGTGTTTGCTTCATGCGTGTTCCTTTATTCCTTGTATTTTCCACTGATCTCCACTAAACTTTGCATATCAAATCAGGTTATAAGGTTAATGTAATCTCCAGAATTATAATATTTACATAAACTCAAGTATTAATATCACTTTACACTGGAAATGAATTGAGAAATTGCATTTTTGCTCGAGAAAATAGTAAAAAGTTAATGATCATAATTATCAGATATTTCGAGCCAAGTACAAGTAGAGCCATTTTTTTAATCCCTTCATAATGGAAAATTAATCAACAAAATCCCATCAACTGATCAAAGGAATTCACTATTGTAAGATAAATGTCTGTTACAGTCTGCTATTCATTAACAAGCCTTTAATTAAAAGGGGCTGTCTTACACATGTGTCTCCAAAATATGCTTTATACGAGTATTAGAAGATAAAGCACAATATATAAGTTAATAAATGCAATATAATGTACAATGTGATGTCCGGTAAATAATATGCAGTTCTGTACATGGATATGGCCAACATGTGCTAGCATGTAAAAAATGAGATCAAGCAGATATAGACTTTTTTACCTCAGAATCTAAACAATAAAATGATTTCCAAGGGCCCCACTAGACACACTCTTGCAAGTTATAAGATATGTGCTCTCAACTAATCACATCATATACTAACATTCCTCCAAAATAATTAAATCACAAAACTGCCCTGTTCTCAGGCTCACAACTAATCATTTTATGTATAACTAGTTTAACAGTAATAGGTTACAAACTCATAAACTCAGCCCAATGACATGGTTTTTCAATAAGAGTAGGTCACAATAAACTAGCCTTTTGAAAGATTTATTCTATATTAACAAAGCTTCAGCAACCTTTCTGCAAAAACAAATTGAAATGACTTACTAGACTTATGGATTTTCAGGGTCACACACACCCTTCTACTCCGGAATCGATCAGAATGTGTCAAATTGCCCGACTATATTAATGCAAATCTGAAATTATACCACTTATGACATATGGAATTATGACATGCTCATTCTCTGTAAATTATGCTTTCAATATGCAATATGCATACAAATAATTATCAATATAAACTTTAATTCAAATCCTATTATGATTTATTTTTGACTGACTCATCTGTGATATTGGAAAGTGGTAATCTTTGGGTTAAGAACAAAAGTACAAATAACTAAACATGACAGTAATATGGTACAACAAATACACATATATGAGCTTAACCACTATACTAAAACTAAAATATATCTTAGACTTTTTTGATTTAACATTTCCCCCTGAAGCATCTAATTCAACATCATCCATCATAAAACTGATAAATGAGAGGAAAATAGAAAAGCAAGATAACATTCTGAGAGGGAAAAGTCAATAACTGTTAAATACATAAGTCATAACTAGCTCTAAATACAAAAAACTAAAATTCTAGTCGCACATCAAGTCTGCCCCCCCCCCTTGCATATTTACTTGCAATACCCATTATAAAATATACAATGGGGAGGGAGATTCACAGGGGATAGTAGAAACTAGTCCTACATCATGGTCTTGTCAGTTGTCACCTCCCAATCAGTAAGTACCCCCCCCCCACTACACTGATCTCTAACAACCCTACCATATATTGGTTAAATTAGCAAGTTGTGGGTAACTGAGACTTGATGATATTATATGTACAATGAAATAGCTATTTGGCAATTTATACTGTGGACAATTGAATATAATGTGATACCAAAATTCAAAAATTGAGCATAATCATATGGTCTCTTTGTCCCTTCATAAGATGATTTTGGGCAATCTATTATGTCATACATACAAAAATACTATAACAAGAAAAATATCATACAACAAATATCAACAGTAACATACTTAACATACTAATCCATACTAAACATACTAATCTATACTAACACATATGAGAGAAATATTCTCTGAATTTACGGAAATTTTGAGTCAAAGATGCAAAAATTTGATATCCTCCTATAATCTACATTCTATTCTTCCTAGTCATTATGGTCTTAAAGCTCTTCAATGCAATCTAGAAAGTCTAGAAATACACTGGAAACAATGTTAACATCCACTTAGAATACAATACCACTCATAGTGCGCACATGTTGTATGGTAAATCCCATTAGAGATATGGAAATTGATTTATGGTAAGTTTCTCCTTTCTTAATGTGATTCTAGCTGACACTAAGAGTATATTCAGTACAACATGTGTTCATAAGTACCTTTAGTTCTTCGATTCTTAAAGTATAAATGCGACAATGTATAATAGGACCTGGTTGTATATCAGTGTATATCATTTCAACAAGGCACTTTTACATACAATAATAATAACATTCACAAATTCCACTGATATCTATTGGTCATTGACATCAAGTTTCTGGTAAATGACATCTTGTCCAGTCTGTGTATTGAAAGATTTCCTAATATTTGTGCACATAAAACACATATCTAGGACTGATGCATATTCATAGAATATAACTATTCTAGCGATAGGATATTCTTGACGAGTTGGTGGGTGGCTTTCTTAAATATAAAGTCAGTACTGTATTCACTGGTTTCTGTCCTGATGTCAGATTTTTCAGATCTGATGTCAAATTTTAGAGATCTAATGTCATTCATTTTGAGAGATCTGACATCACACTTGAGGTAATGTAATGATTCTACCCTTCTATATATCATCATAATTGGAGATCAGGATTCAGTAGTAGTCAGAAACAAAACAAGGCTTCAAGCCCGAGATCCCCTCCCAAGATGGCCGACAGTAGCATTTCACACGACTGTTTGTTGGGCTGACATCACCAGAACTGAAAAAGGAGATTCATTATTATTTCATTCGTCTAAAATATCCAACTACTTTTTGTTATTACCCCAAAATTTTTGATTTTGCTTTAACCCTAAACAGATGGCACACTCAAAAGAAAGTTTCCTCCTTGAGGTACAACCAGTTCAAATTGTGCTTCAGACTACTTTGTTCAGACACTATCTTTAATATTCAGGTTCAATCAACAAACATTTATAAAATCCCACAACTATCAGTGAGTAGGGAAGTTATGTCAGCGTTATGTCACAAATTAACACACCATGTAAAATAGCTCATGTTCTCATGCATAATCATTGATGAGTCCATTTTAAGCTAACTGCTATAGAGTAACCAATAGCTATTGCTAACAGCAGATTCAAAACTGAATGTACAGATTTTCCCATTTCAAATGTTCAGCAACTTTTCTATAATACCATACCATCTATCTTTTTTTAGCTCTTATATTTGGATTGGTAACACACACTTTTCTTGTTTTTAGCTTAGCATTGTCATAAATAATGTTTCAAGGTTATCGAATGATTTCATTTGTTGGAGTAGTACATTAGCCTTATAATAAGTACCATCCACACTGTGGATAAGGAAGATAAAGTAGATGAATTATAGAGTATCAATGTTACCATGACCTTAGGGGCACTCAAAACAGTAATATAAGACAATTACATTTCAAGATTATGAGGAACGTATACAGTCACCTAAGGGGATATTCTATTTTGAAACGATATAATGTAATACATATATTGTGTGTATTACATACAAATCTTAATTACGAGTGAATTCAATTTTCACTGTAGGAAATTAATAGGGAGGGGGTGTCTTGGACTTAACTATACACACATGTATAATAGGTATTGTTTATTAGCTTTTATCCGAAACCAATACATGTACCGTATTTTAAATTGCTTCCATTATTCTCTCCTTATTTCTGCAAGAACATCATTTCCTGACATTTTACATAAGTCCAGACTTTGTCCCTATTAATTCATTTACTATTAGCTGTTTCTTATCTTAAGTCTGTTATTATCTCTTTCTAACATATTTTATCATTCAGAACATGACCGCCAGTGGTGCTAGACCAGTTCACCATAACCTTTTCCCAGAATATGAAGAACCCAAATAAAGAGACAATAATGAAGTGAGATAAGAAATGGCTAATAACCAATTAATAAAGCCAAAGTCTGTAATAGAATAAACTGTCAGAAATCCCGGAAAATGAGAAAATTATTACTGGGGATTTGAGATTAACATTAAAGGTCACTGTGACATTATCCTAGGTCAGAATAACCTCAATATTGCAGTCAACAGCTGTATTAATACCGACACCCACAAACCTAAAGCTATCAATTTAATTTGAGAGGTATATCTGGAAAATAACTCATAATCTGTTTCATTAAAAAAGGGTTTGTCTCATAAGTCATTTTCTCGATGCTGGCATATTACTGAACCTTCCCAGATTTTCCTCATTGCCAGTTTCATTTGTAACTAATTTCATTTGTAACTAGTTTGTTATCAGTATTGTTATCTTGAAATGGCATCTGTTACAGTTAAGTAAGCATCTGTTACAAATATAAATATCTGTTTCTTTGAAATGGGAAAACACAAAGGGTAACATTATTAGAACAAATACAAATAGAAATCCGTATTTTCCAAATTGATGGTGTACATTTATAAACTCGTTACACAATATGAACTTAGAAGAACTGGAGTAAAACAATAATAAAAGGAATTGAATTTTTTTTTCACAACTGTCAAATCAGTCCCTAACATAGGATTAAGCCTTTATTCATAGATTCAGTTTACCTGCAGTAGTTTAAAATATGTAATATTCAAACAAATACCTGCAATATTGAGAGTGGTACCCCTGGCCGCTCCCCCTGGGTGTAGGAGTCTGGGGGTCATTGCTGCTAGGAGTTGAGTACTGACCAGGATCTGGTACACAGTCATCATCCATAGCCATATGAGCATCTGTAGAGGTGGAGTCAGGTGGGGAACTATATGTCTCTTCGTTGATATCCATTATGTGTGTGTTCTGCAAAATAAGGTAAAAAGTTGATATATCGCAAACATAAGGTGACCTGCCAAGGATTAAGCATCACAGAAAGGAAAGGAGACGTGATGGGTATCAGAATAGAGATTATAGCAGCCTATTTATTATGATTTACTTTAGACTTGCCCCCTCTTAATGAAAATCCAATCTCATATTGACTGCCACTCAATCCCCTATAGGGCCCCCTATAAATATAAAGTGCTCATTCGCATTCAACTCTCATTTGTTATGGGGTAAAGGCATTATTATATGACCATTTGATTCCAGCCTGTTGCCTTTCACAAAATGTTTTTTTAAACAAATATTATGCTATGTGAAGAAAAATACAAATGTACATATTTAGCAGAAACAAGATCCATGGGTTACAAAGAGTGCTTCCATCTTTCAAAACCTGCATAATAAAAAGCAATGATACAACATCATAAAGTATTGACCTATAGTATTTACACAGTGACATCTTTCAATCATGTCACAAAAAATTCCAAAAAGGAATCAAACAGTCTGATTTTAAGGCCATTCAAATGGACATAACCTATCCCAAAATCTGTCTGTAATATTTCTTGTATTCCTGTCTCACTGATTAGAAAATAATACATTGAGCTTTGAAATGCTCTTATCTTTGATCCTAAATTCTCCCAACATTTTTTTCAAAAATAAACTGATCTGCAACTAGCAGCATCAATAGATGTTAAATCGAGCTTTCTGTAAATACTGCTTCTTACTTATACGTGTATTATTGCTTCTTAATTATTAGGTACAAGTAAGTTTTTATATCATTTTCCATTCATAGTGTAAGTCACAAAATGCTGCAATTCTAGTTTTGAAGAGTTTATAGAGGTTTCTCCACTTTAAGATGGTAAACATACCTGTACATGATGCGAGACATGAGATTCCTGATGTCCATGAGTTTGCCATGGTGACGACGCATGTACATCTTGCATTAAGTGTCCTGGCACCTGGAATTGAATTTAAAAAGTTAAAACTCCACTGTTGATTTGTTGATCAACCCCTGAAATATAAAATTTGATGCTGTCATAAAGCAAAATGAGGTTCACTCTTAACCTCGCAGTTGCACACAATTTTGGCATATTCATCCGTTACAAGTATGCTTATGCTTATTAGAACTTTAAAATACCTGTTGATGATGTTGATGTTGCACTGGGTTGCTCTGTAACTGTTGGTGACTGTCATGATGAGGCTGTTGCTGAATATGGTGCTGTGATTGCTGTTCATGAAAAGGCTGTTGCTGAATTGGTGGTATATGGTTGTGGTTCACTTCAAGATCTGAGTGGAAACAGGGTCTTTTAGCACCATTACCAAGCTGAAACAAATGTAAACTTAATTGTTAAAACATATTGTCTGTAAAATTATTTCTGAAACAGAAAAAAGTAAGGCCTGCAGGTCCAATTCCCCCTATATATATATTTACTTCCATTAATGTCCCCATTAGTCTCGTCTATGTCATATAATTAATATTGGAAACACAACTAATATTCGAACATGTGATCGGACATAAGTACATATAAGATCATAAGTTCAATAGGTGTTTTTCAAATATTAATTGTATGACATATACGAGACTAATGTTAATGCTTTCAGGGGGAATATCACCTGCAGGCCTTACCATTTACACATATTTTTTCTGTTTTGAAAAATTCAAAATGTGATGTATATTTCTTGGTTTTTCAAATAAATCTAAAAATATTTTGTTGTTGTCTTATCTTCACATCGCAATTTCAATCACCACCATCATTTTTCAAACAAGTTACCTTGAAATATCAGAATGTGCTATTCTCATACTTGTAGAACTTAATATGACTGTCATTCACCATTTATTAACCAGTAAAAAATAATTTGCTACATTGGTGACAAAATGTTTCTAATTTCTTGTTGAATGTCGAATCAAGCATCATACAATTGTAATTTTAGGGGATCTGTCTGTATGGGGTGATTACATGTACAGTAGGTAATTTGCCAATCACATGATCACAGTTGTGTGACAAACAGTTATACAAACCTGTTCTTGGCTTTCATGTGGACCAGTGTGGCTGCAATTATTTTCGTCAAAGTTGGATTTCCGTTTCACCCCAAAAACCTGGAACACAGGAGTCCTGGAGACTGGCCATCCAAGCTCAGAGGCAGGCATCTTGATTACCCTGAAACAGTGAACAGTCTTTTACAAATGCATTTGAACTTTTGTGGACTAATCCACTGCAATTACAATCTTTGATGAGCTTCATCTTTGAACTTGAACTTTTTGGCCTGCTCTTGGTTTGGTTTAGAATGTGTCATGTGGAATCATTCCAAGGACAGACCATAAGGTATTATGGGTCATTCAAAGTTGCCTTGTAGCAAACTGAGCCCTCATTGCCTTTGAAATACTTTGAAGAGTTAACCTCATAAAATGGAAATGATAGATGTGATATACTGGTTCATTACGTTTCTTAGCCTCTTATACATTAGGTTCTGAGCTCCTTAGTTTTTAATTTATTTGAAAATTAACTTTTCTCAGAAAAATATTTGGCCTAAATGACAGAAATTATTTTGGGATTGGGCTCGATAAAAAATATACTGTACCCTGTGGTTCTTGTAATCTGAATCTTTTTGGAGGCTTAGAAGGTGAGAAAAATATTTATCGTCAGAGATATAATTGTCTACCCCTTGGAACCAGATGAGATGTAAAAATCTAAAGGATCTTTTCGCCAAAAAAGATACATTCAGACAAGAAAAAATACGATCTATTATCCATTTTAACCGTAATAATGATTGTAACATCTTAGTGTGAGTGACAACTAAATGTGATCAAAAATCTAAATCCTGAACTTACTTTTGAAGAATCTGATCCATTTAGTAGGTTGTGTTATATTCATAACTGACATATGTTTTCAGAACTAGTCAGTAATTAATTTCAGTATAGAACGGCTGTACTAAACGTTCAATACTTGGGACTTTATATATTTAGATATTGGAGTACCCACTTGACTTCAACAGATGCACATTTTCAACTTATTTGGAGGGCAACTTAGGTGGGCATATTGTAATAACACACATGGTCTAATGCTACACATCTTGTTGAAGTTCATGTTTAGTAGGAGGAGCTACAAGAACTTGAAAATAGACATAAAATCCACTTCAAGGACTTGAAAATAGACATACAATGCACTTCAAGGACTTGAAAATAGACATACAATGCACTACATGGACTTGAAAATAGACATACAATGCACTACATGGACTTGAAAATAGACATACAATGCACTACATGGATTTGAAAATAGACATACAATGCACTACATGGACTTGAAGATAGACATACAATGCACTTCAAGGACTTGAAAATAGACATACAATGCACTACATGGATTTGAAAATAGACATACAATGCACTACATGGACTTGAAAATAGACATACAATGCACTTCAAGGACTTGAAAATAGACATACAATGCACTAAATGGACTTGAAAATAGACATACAATGCACTACATGGACTTGCAAATAGACATACAATGCACTTCAAGGACTTGAAAATAGACATACAATGCACTACGTGGACTTGAAAATAGACATACAATGCACTTCAAGGACTTGAAAATAGACATACAATGCACTACATGGACTTGAAAATAGACATACAATGCACTTCAAGGACTTGAAAATAGACATACAATGCACTACATGGACTTGAAAATAGACATACAATGCACTTCAAGGACTTGAAAATAGACATACAATGCACTACATGGACTTGAAAATAGACATACAATGGACTTCAGGGACTTGAAAATAGACATACAATGCACTACATGGACTTGAAAATAGACCTACAATGCACTTCAAGGGACTTGAAAATTGACATGCAATGCACTACATGGACTTGAAAATAGACATACAATGCACTTCAAGGACTTGAAAATAGACATACAATACACTTCATGGGCTTGAAAATAGACATACAGTGCACTTTAAGGACTTGAAAATAGACATACAATGCACTACATGGACTTGAAAATAGACATAAAATGCACTTCAAGGACTTGAAAATAGACATACAATGCACTACATGGACTTGAAAATAGACATGCAATGCACTTTAAGGACTTGAAAATAGACATACAATGGACTTCAGGGACTTGAAAATAGACATACAATGCACTACATGGACTTGAAAATAGACATACAATGCACCACAAGGACTTGAAAATAAACATACACCTCGTCTATCAATCTCCCTCCCTTGCACAAACCAGGAAATGAGTGCTTAATACATGTGACATCTTCTATTAATGATTGAACAGGATTTTTAACCCACTCTTTTACCAAAATTAACAAGACATTTCTATTTACCGTACATTAATTTACAAGTTTCTATAACTACATCTCAGAGTGACCCCTCCCAACTCTTAGGAAATGTAATTGGACATTTATGACATTTTTAAATCAAATTCTACTTTAGTTAGTTTGAATTTGTACTGTAAATAATAAACTGACATTGTTGGAGATTAGAGAATAATCACAATAATTAACAATCTGGTTACAAATGCATTTTGAATTTATTACATCATATGTTTCTTACAGTGATAGTGGCACTCTACAGTGGCACCATTTCAGATTGAACACTTTCGCATTGTTACCTACTAGATATAGTAGTACATCAATCATACTTTCATACTGATTGGTCAAAGAAAGGTGTACAATTATCCCAGTCTACATCCAGATATATCAGTTTCCCTCATGTTATGGAATAACCAAACAGAGGTTGCCATAGCTGTTAATAAACTAGATGAAGTAAATGTACATCAAAATCTTAGAATACAGTAGAGGTCAACAATTTAACCAGTTCACCTCCAGATGTGTCAAATTGTGTATTCTGCCACACCTGTACACTCAGAACCTTTTATTCAGGTCACCATACAATAAATACTTAACATTTTGCATATTTTTCATTACCCACAAGAAAATGCTTTTTACACTTGGAACTGTTGTCATGGGTACACATGTGTGGTCAGGTATTCCATCAATTTCCACTTAAAATACATGTAACGAGGCAATGCTTTTATTATTTGATCCAAAATTACCTGTAATTATTATTACTATCAGACTATCTGACTACTATAGATAAATAAAGAAATTGTTTTTCCTTTTAAAAAACAGTTAAAATAACATGCAATGCCTCTTTATTTTAAAGTATCTAATTCACATTAAACTCATAGCAGTAAGGTTGGAACGTACAATACAAAACAATACTAATGTTATAAATAAGTAATGTGAGATCACGTGCACATGTTTTACAACAATTACTGACCCAACTGGAATATGTCATTTCAATTTTAAAATTGAACTGAAACTAACATGTTAACATTTACTAGGATATAATTACCATATTCTTGACCTATTAATCATGCAGTAAATAGCAGAATATGCATACCCATTCTCCATGCAGTGTTCAAAACATGTATATTACTGTATATAAAAGTACAGAACATATAATCAGTTAAACTCAATGGAGATTGCTCTACTGCATTAAAACAAATAGCATCACATCACATCACATTATATAATCACTAATTAAGAATTTGACCTCAGCATTTAATTTTAGTTCTTTTAGTACTAGAGTGTAGCACCTGGCCCACCCTGTATGTAACAATCAGCAATTATCAGCAATCAGCCTACGGTATATATGCACTGCAACCCTGTTATTAAATCTATGCATGTACAGTACGTTCAATAATTGTTTTCAGCAGAAACTTCTGCCTCCCTTGTGTTGAACTAAATTTCAGTAGTGTGTGGTAAAGTTATTTTACTAAAACTTGTGTTAAGAGTTGAAAGACTACATAAATACAATAGTAATTTTTTCAAAAAGTTGCACGTGAAATATGAGAAGACCCTCCTCTTTGTCCTGATATAAATAGTTTTTGAATAATGTATGAGGGTATAGACTTTATGTATCACTTTCCCTCAGCACAAGTTTCAATAATTTATCATAGGATAGCCTGTATAACAATATTTTGACATTATAAGGTGGAACAATTAACTGTACATAATAATTATAAACATATCAGTTTACTAAAACTTTCACTACACTGTATAAAAACTACCATAAGTTAATCAGGCCACAAAAATGTATTTTATAATTTCATAATGCTGTGAAACACAAATTATATATTTGTGGCCTTAAAGATACAAATGTTATATTAAAATTGCACTCTGAATGTGATGCGCTAAGTTACACTACGACATTGCTATCCACCCATTATCACTCAAAAAGTTTAAAATTTTTCTTCGGTGCATTTTGTTCAGATTAATAGGGTAGCGTATTTTCACAGGAATACCCCTACGTCGCTGCATATAGTCTTTAATAATACATGTTTTTATTGTTAAATAGGTATCTGGTTTCATACCTATATGGTCACACAATTTACGCTCCATCTCTGTCAAGAGATCATCACCTGTCGTTTGGGATTCGATACTGTGTAAAGGTCCATCAAGATGGCCAAAACCATTGGTATGTTTCGGAACAGGGTTCAACTTAGTCCGACCATTCTTTCTCAGTTTACCTAGTTCTCGAATCCGAGATTTTATCTGTTTCTTTTTCCGTTCACCATTCAGAAACTGTTCGTGTTCAACTGGGGAATGGAACTGAGCAAACGGTTTTACTTTTTCTTGAAATTCCTTAAACTCATTTGTCTTAGAAATCTTCTTCTTGGATGACTGCTTGTTTTTATTTTTATTTTGAGTTTTGGAAACTATGGTGGAAGAAGAATGGATTAAATTAAATTCCCTAGCAATTTTTTTTCTTCTCCCTCGTTCTTTAAGTCTTTGACGGTACATGTCAATTTGTGCTAACTTAAATGCGATGTCAATGTCCTCATCTTCGTAATGAATAGAGATTCCACTAACACTCTGCTCAGCTTCGTTATCATATTCACGTTCAAAATCATCCCTGAGTGGCAGATAGCCAAGTTCTTGTTGTTCTTGTATGGTGAGTTCTAATGGGGGAAGTGCTTCAGTTAGACTAGGAGACAGAGGACCACCTTCAGGACAAGTGTGGTCAATTATCTTTATTGTTTTCTCTTTAGGTACAGTAGCTTTCCCCATGTTGCCATCAATGTAGTATTTGCAGTAGTGCACACGACATTCTTCAGAAATTTTGGTAACTACGGATTTTGCAACGTCATTCCAATTTCCAAAGCCATATTGTTCCACTGCATCAACTATCAAACTTTCCTCTTGTGACGTCCAAAGAGATTCTCCCCCAGGGGACATTCCGCCACCCCCAAACACTCTGAAGAGGCCATTGTCAATCACTTTATAATCATGCTCTTTTTTATGTTTTCCTATCTCAGCACCACATGCAAAACATTGTAGACATAAATCAAAATCCTGGCATTCTGTACACTGCACCTTGACTGTGGGTATGTCATTCTGACAGTATGTGCAGCGAAATGTCTCCATTTTAATCCAGTATATTGCTGTAGCATCGAGTATTACTCTATGTGCGTCTTTGTCTTTGATGATGTTGCCCGGGGGATGGCGGCATGCTGTAGTTGTAATGTTTCCAACATTTTATCCCTTGGGCGACTTCTGCAAAAATGTCAGAAAAATATGCCCTCAGTAATTGTCATTTATATGTTCATTCAATGTTAATTTATGTGATATTGTATGTTCATGAAGCCAGCCAATCCCCAATTAAAAGACGTAATCCAAAATCCCTTGTTCTGCAGGTATTTTGATCTGGATTTCCCTGAAATGCACTTTGAAAGGGGTTTTCCCAATCTCAAAGACTGTCTATCGTGAAAAACAAACAAGTCACATCTAAAGTAACAATCAAAACTTGAAACATAATTTCAAAACATTACCAACAGTGGCGCCATCCTGTGGCGAATTTGTAACTGACAATGAAAAGGGGTATTCAGCTTTAAGTTTGGCTATTCAGTCAAATATGTTACTCCAATCATATGGAAATTATACAGATACTTTTAAACATTATTACGTTAGAGCTTAACGTGTTAATCCGATCGCGTAGTTTACGTTGAAAATCGAAAAATTCCAAAAATGAACCGTTCAAAAAAGTAGGTCAAAGATCAGACACAGAAAACGACACTTTACACAGCGTACTTACCTTGGAAATATGATTGCTAATGTAATTGTGGTGTCTACAAAGATTTAGTACAGCCGTTTTGGTATTGTAGTGGTTGGTTTATTTACGATCGGGTAAAATATAACGACTTCCTGCATCCAAAGGAAAATGGCCGACTTTCTTCTTTGTTACCCGCCGCATTTGCGTGATCACGTGACCTATTTTCTATGTTTTCTCCTATTTAGAGAGATCAGTGGAGACTAAGAACAGAACGGGAGAAATCCTATATCATGAGCATGATATTGATATATCATTTTCCTGAAATAATCTTCAAAAGTTCAAAAAATGAGCACCTGCTATTGCGAGATCTCGTTACCTATAAACAATATGGCGGCAATTTCAAGTTGCCTGCCACTTTTTCTCAAAATATTGCTAATATTCTTTTTAACTGATGGTACTTTTACCCAAAATATAACAACAGCTAATACACCTACTACCGAGGCAGCTGTTGCAACTACAACAACTGCCCCTTCTGCCACAGCAACACCAATAGCTGCTAATACAGGTATACCATTTCCGGGTTTGAAGTAGAATTCAATGAAATTCAATGAGAAATTTTTTGCTACATGTACTTAGGTAGAATCATTTTATAAGATCACTTTTGCCGTTTAACTATGATCTCATTCTGTGTAGGAAATATGAAAGATTCATCTGTGACATCAGTGACATATTTTCCCATCAACAAGTAAACAAACTTCTCTAATCTGTTATGATTGACAGGGCCTAAATGTCAGTTTCATGCAGGCCTGTCAACTGTCCCGCAATTTGCGTATTTGTCACGCATTTGCTGAAGAATTTGAAGTCACGCCAGTTATTTTTGCGTGACAGAAAATGTCACGCAAATACGCATTTTACCTGGGAATTGACCGGCAAAAATGTGTCTGTAGAAAAATTTCTAAAAAAGTTCGTCTACACAGCAAAAATGCGAACACCGAAAAAAAAACGTACGCATTTCGTTCGGACTTTTCACGCGAATCACGTATATGTCACGCATTCCGAAAAATTTGAGGTGTTCAAAATTTGGCAAGATGTTATAAAATTTAAACCAAGGTGTTCAAAATTTGGATCAAGGTGTTCAGATTTGGACCGAGGTGTCCACATTTTGAGGGGGAGGTGTTCAACATTTCCAAGTCACTCATGTTAGGTGTTCCCAAGTTGACAGGCCTGGTTTCATGTTCCTAACCAACAACATCTTTATGTTTCAATCTACAGTGGATCAGTAATCATTTGGTGTTCCAGGGACTGGTCTAGCCAAATAACCTTGTTTGAGGTATTTTCAAAGCTAGGCTATACACTAGGGTGGTCCAAAATATGGCGAAAAACCAACTTTGTTTCAGATCATCTTCCTCATTTCACTTACTGTTGTCCATGACCTAAAACACCTGCACACAAAATTGTAAGACCCAAATCACATGGGAAATTTACCCACGCTTCGACTGAAAATTCGCTTATTTCATGATTTTTTGCTATTTTCGATAAATTGTCATCTCCCTTTTCCTGGTATAATATGTTTCTATTTTTTTCATAATAAACATTTTTGTAGGACTCTTTATTACTTCATAATACTAGGAACCCATACACCAAATGTTGAGACCCAAATCCCATGGGAAATTTACCCACGCTTCGACTGAAAAATTCGGTTATTTCATGATTTTTTGCTATTTTCGATAAATTGCCATCTCCATTTTCCTGGTATAAAATAGTAGATGTCTTTTCATAATAAATATTTTTGGATGACTCTTTATTACTTCATAATACTTAGGAACCCATTCATCAAATTTTGAGACCCAAATCCCATGGGAAATTTACCCACGCTTCGACTGAAAAATTGGGTTATTTCATATACAATACAATACATCTCTATTTTCCTGGTATTATATGTTTCTATTTTTTATAATAAATATTTTGGGAGGACTCTTTATTACTTCATAATACGAGGAACCCATACCTCAAATATGCACCAAATTTTGAGACCCTGGCCCCATGAGAAATTAATTCATGCTTCAACCAAAAATTTGTGATTTTCTGCGAATTTTCTCCTATTTTCAATAGATCAACATTAATCTTAAATTTAGTTTTTAAACATTTTAGGAGGATATTGATACGTTCTTAATACTAGGAACCCATACATTTAATATGTACCAAATGTTTAGACCTGAACCCCATGGGAAATTTACGTTTGCTTTGATCATTATACTTTTGATTTTTGTCGTTTAGAGCACCATATCATTGTTGTGTGATGTGCAATTTGTAATAAATTGTATTACACGTTGTCTTAATTATCCTGTTTGGCCATACATACGTTACATCGTGAAAGATGGTTATATAGTACTTTAAGGTAATTCCTTATTTTCAGTTTTAATGGCTTCCTAATTGGAGCCCCGTGTTTTTTCAGGAACACATAACTCATTCCATTCAGATGCACAAACAGTGTATAAACATAGCACATAGTACATTATAGAAAATTACTAACCATCAACTAATAATCTAAATACATATTTGAACTCAGTGTAAAATTGAAAGAGCTGACCAAGTATGGAATGAGTTCCAGAAATAACATTGGACTCCACTTAAAATTTCTGAACATACAGAATTACCTTAAGTGTTTCTCATTGCTCTTCCTATCTTCTACATTGTGTACTGTCAGGGCATGAACATTTTGAGAGAAATGACAAAGCTCAGTGGAAGCTCGAATCCCTTGAAGATTTGGTACAGGCTTATTGGTTACAACAGAGACCATGCCATTGATACATTGATCAATCAAAAAATCATTTCTCCAAAGAAAATCAGATTTGATATTTGACCTTACCCTGCAAAGATGTGAGAAAGAATATGACATCTCACACAAATCCAAACAAAGTCCTGTGATGTATCCCTACTAAAACCAACAAACCAAATCTTCAAGGCATTTGAGTTGCTGTCGAGTCATCACTTCTTAATATTAACCACAGTATATAAATGGACAAGTAAAAGATCCTAAATTTTCCCCAAACTACTGAATTTGTCGCCTTTCAATAAGACTTAAAGTCTTGATATTTAGGTGTTTCTTTGGATTAAGAAGGAATTACCATAATGTTTATTAACATATTATGCCCCTAAAACAGACATCATAAGCTATCATAAGCACCAGTTTTCAGTCAAAGCATGGGTAACGTTCTCATTGGATTTGGGTCTCAAAATTTGGTGGATATTTGGTGTATGGGATATTTAGTATTATGAAGTAATAAAGAATAAAAAACATCGTACCAGGAAAGTGGAGACAGCAATTTATTGAAAATCGGAAAAAATGTGAAAATCACAATTTTTCAGTCAAACCATGGGTAAATTTCCCATGGGATTTGGGTCTCAAAATTTGGTGTATGGGTTCCTAGTATTATGAAGTAATAAAGAGTCATCCAAAAATATTTATTATGAAAAAATAGAAACATATTATACCAGGAAAATGGAGACAGTAATCTATTGAAAATCGGACAAAACTGTGAAAATCACAATTTTTCAGTCAAAGCATGGGTAAATTTCACATGGGATTTGGGTCTCAAAATTTGGTGTTTGGGCTCCTAGTATTATTAAGTAATAAAGAGTCCTACAAAAATGTTTATTATGAAAAAATAGAAACATTTTATACCAGGAAAAAGGAGATGGCAATTTATCGAAAATAGCAAAAAATCATGAAATAACCGAATTTTTCAGTCAAAGCGTGGGTAAATTTCCCATGGGATTTGGGTCTCAAAATTTGGTGTGCAGGTGTTTTAGGTCATGAACAACAGTAAGTCAAATGAGGAAGATGATCCGAAAGAAAGTTGGTTTTTCGCCATATTTTGGACCACCCTACTATACACGTAGAGGTTTTCTGCAAATTCTGATTTATTATTGTCTGATTTTGATCAGTGATCTATTGTTCTATTTTTGTATCATGTTGTCATGTGAATCCGATAATAACAACATTTTCTTATCCATTGCAATTGACCCAGTATGCACAAGAGCTCTTTACTCCCATTCACTTATATTAGATCAACTCATAGAAAAAAAGATTCCATGTACACTTTGATGTTATTCAGAGAAAACATACAAAATAGATCACATCACTTCTAAAAACATAGGACCCTACCATGACTGAAGTAAATGCTGATGTTTATTAAAATCCCCTCTCCCTTAATGAGAGGACCAAAGTGAAATCCTTCGTGAAGGTCTCACTTAAACTGTAAATGTATTTTCAGATGTTGGCCCTTGTACGTGTGATCTAACAAAAAATGCTTGTGATGTAAATTGTTGTTGCGATGGAGACTGTACTGCAGATGACAGACTTGCATTCAGCCAGTGCTCAGAAATTGTTGCTAGGTAAATTCTTCTTACAGTATTGTTTTCTAAATGTGTGTTTGCAAAAAGTGCATTATTAAAAGTGGAATGGATATTGTACAGGGTGCCCTTCCTGGCTTTTAAATGTAAAAATAATTTAAACAATATTACTGGGCATCCACTCTGACTTAAAAGAAAGAACATTTTCTTTCTAAATACTGTATATTACAGGGTGTCCATTCTAATCTTAACAAAAATAGCAATTTTTTCCAACCACATATTAAAGATCATGCGTCTATCCTGACATTTTTCTTACTTTTTATAGGGTGTCTGGACAAACATGCATCACAAGCAGTGTTATATTTAGAGATAATACTGGATATGAAACAAATACCTCCAACCCTGATTTACTGTGTATAATCACTGACAACTGTGAGTATACCCTGTGACATTTTTCTTTGTAATCTTCTTGGCATTGAACAAAGTAGGTGAAACAACACATACTTGAGATTTCCACTTGAAAACTCTGGTACAGCCACAGCCACTTGTGGGAATAAGGCATATATTGTATAGGTTTGGACAAAATTGTGAAAAAAAGTATATTGGGCCCACTTGCGTAAAATCCTAGGGATCCTCAGCTCTAATATAGTCTAGCTACAAGCCCTTCACCACCCGCCTCCCTCTATTACATATCACAGAGGGGGTCCAGAGACTTGAATCGAAACTGAGACTATCTGTAATAGTGTGCCTTGAAGCTGACACATTCTTCATGTTATGATGAATAAAATTGTTTTCCAGACCAAGAGAGAAATTACTACACTGTTCCCGATGAACTGGACACACCTAGCAAACTCAAGGCATACAGTGAGAAGTATGGAGGCTACTCATACCAGACACTCAACTCAGATTTCACTATGAAAGAAACTAATTATGTTGTAAGTTTCCCCTGCAATGTTTGATGATGAATAATGAAGTTCTACTCAAACATACAAATTAAATGACAATTTTGTTGCCATATCAACACATTCAAATTGAAATACTTAAATTGTTGTTAATACATGTAGTTGAACTTGATAAAATCTATGAAATTATAATTGACCATGTTGATGGATATTCAGGTAGTTATTGTCCTCAAAAAAAATTTGATCACTGTAAAAATGAATGTGAGCTCCTGAATAGGTAATCCGCAGAAAAAATAGAAGATCCAATTTTCCAATTTTAATAAATCTTATCCTGTGTTTTCTCTTCAGAGTGGAATAGAATATTCAATTTTTCAAATTTTAACAAATCTTATCTTGTATATGTTCTTTTAAGAGTGGAGATCTGATATACACTAGATATGAGAACAATGCTACAGGTGTACTGAGTCTTCCTAGAACACTGAATTCTGCAGAGTGTTCAGATCAGAATGGAGCAGGTAAGAACGCAGTGCTCATTGCCTTGCAGTCTTATGAAAAGTGCCAAGAAATTCATCAACTTGAGGAATTCTTCAACCTTGAAATATTAGATAGCCCAAGATGGATTATATATCATGTTTTTATCTAGTTGATTAATGATTTAATGCAACAAACTCAAATGTAATTTAATTGTTTTCTATTTAGCATACTTGTATGACCAGAAGTTTACCTGTACCCGTTTCCTTAGTAACCTAGCAACAGAATGTCAGTCTTCTCTCAGTCTCGATGCTGCCACCTATTACCAGAACTTCAAACTAGTTTCTGTAAGTAGTGTCAAAATGTTGTGATTGATTAATATGACAATAAAATAACATTGTGACATTTCTTATTTCATCACTGCAATGGGAAAGAACCATTGCTTTCAGTTATAACAGGTTAAAACTTATAACATTCTTTAAAATATACAGATTATTTTGACATTTCAAAATACATGTCTGCATGTATGTGGTGTCTCACTTTACCTTGGATAATACTATGCACTTTCCTTTTAACCGAATCACTCAAAGATAATCATTTCTTATTTATTTAGACTCCTGAAATATTTTCACCAGGCCCGGTATATCCTCCCAGCATAGATGGAACCACATCATCTCCTGGCACTACTGTCTCCATGACAACAGTTGCTATGGAGACAACAACAGAGACATTGTCATATGACAACAGTAGTTTAGTAGACATTATCATTGGGCAGAGTTACTGTATAGACCAGCAAGGGATTGGAGACGTATGTAACTTCACAGGATCGGGACCACCCTCCCCAATGTTCAACCTAACTGGAAATGATTTCTGTGACTATGCAGTTACTGAGGTGATCTTTAATGTTTACTATGGATATGATAATATTGTACAATAAAAATGTTAATATTTGTAAAAAATCTATCTGGTTCGATAAAAGCATTCACAATTCAATATTTTTTCTCAACGAATATAGAAAATATTTTTGGAAGAAACTGTTGAAGCTTTTTGATAAAATGAAAATTCTGTTTTCTGTTCTGTTTTCTGTGATTTTACGATAGAAATGTGATTTCAGCAACTTCATAAGAAGATTCAGAATGTGCAAGGGTCCTGTTATGTTATGTCATATGACAATAATCAGAACTACCTATACTGTAATATGGTAGACATGTGCTATGTACACGTGTATATGTATTTGGGTTTCATTATTACATTGGACATGGCTGCTTAATATTGCAGGTCCACTATATAATCTACCACAATGGAACTAAGGGAATACAACAGGCTGAAGTGAGATTTGTCTTTAAGTCAATTCAAGATCAACACCTTCCATTATTACAGACATTCCAAACCTCTTTCAAAAAGGTATGTACGAGTATCGTAGTACTTTTTTTTATTTGTTTTATTTCATTTTAGCAATCACATTTAAATCCATGTACATAGAGATACTACTATACATACAAGTTGCAATGTTCAATTCAACTTAAAACATGGTACTTAAAGGACAACTGAAATAGCTTTTCTCAACTTGCAGCTACAAACATGCGGTTTTCTCCATTGTAAGCCCAACGTAGAGTTCTTGCGATAGCCATTATAAAATAAATGTTAGATAACTGCTAACGGTCATACACAACGAAATAAAACTAACTGATCAATCAAATTGGCCCCCACGTGATAAGTAACGTCATATACAAAATATAGCTTTGGTTTATTGATACCTTAGTAATCACAACGTCACGGCAACCATAGGATTGTAGTGTTAACCAAAACAAAACATTTTGGCATTATGACGTTATGGGCCACGTGGGGACCAGTGAGAGATCACGTGGGGGCCAATAACGTCACAACCAATTCGAATATTGCTTATTAAGCAGCTATAATGATCGTTAGAGTGAAATAGTTTTCGCACTACTGATGAGAAAACATGTCCAAATACATTTATCAAAAAACTATATTGATTCCTTTAGGTTAAAAATACCATTTCATATCTGCTTTAACACTTCCATTTTCACTAGTGGCAGTTTTCCGGTTTGACTTATTTTAGCCATCTCATTTGAAAAAGGGAATGGGCTGCCCCACGTCCCCTCTCAGTTAAAAACATTTTATACTGTTTAATATCATGAGTATTTTACTTCAGCTTGAGGACACAAACACATTCAGACGTAGTGGCAACCCAGGATACCTTATAGGTGAGCCTGTCCTTGCAGGTCGTCTAGTCACCCAATCATTAATAGATGGCACTGAACGCCAGGCAATTTATCTGGACTCTAATCGTGAGAATTGGCTGACAATCGTTACAAGCACTCCAACAGGGCAGTGTGTTACAGAACCATACAGTAGGAGATCTGTTAAATTTGGAGAGAATTTAAGAAGTGGATGTGCTTTCAGGTGAGTTTCTCCTGAAGGCGTCAATAGGGATCTCCCTAAGGAGACAAAGGGATGAAGTGAATCTGTTCAGATTAATAAAAGGCTGAACTTTAAGATTGTATTGTTGGCCCTTAAATTAAGAACATGCTAATAATATTTTCTATAAAAGTAGAATTTCGATTCATATATGTTGACAAGAAATCTGGTTAATCAAATTGGTAGCAAAGTAAACCAGAAAATTCGGGGTAACTTTCAACAATGTCTCTCCAAATTGCACCCACCTTTCTTTGTCTTGCCTGTTTTAAAAAATTAATTTCATCAGTTTGGTAATAACTTTATTGTAATAAATAGAAAATATAATATACCTTATCTCACCAGTAAATGATATGTGTCAAAACATTCATTATCTGAACCCAAATGTTCAAATGTTTCATCCCTGTACAGTATGTAGAGGATGAAAATGCTCCAAAAATATCTAAAATCCTTATTACCTATATAAACCATTGTGCATTGAATAAGTTAATCTGTTTACAGGGTCTCTTACAACAACATTGCGGATGTCTGCACATTGATACAGCAAACAGCTTTGCATGCTCTTACTCTTAACCAATCAGATTTCTACATTGCAACATTCGGCAACTCTGATGTTGTGAAAGTTGGTGATTGGGTGAAAATTATTGAACAAAATAAACCAACAGCGGTGAGTTTTCCTTGAAGTTAATACTCAAAATTATAGGAATTAGAGGTTCACACTTTACTGTATTCATCATTAATTACACACCATTTTGTTCTATACATATCAGAACCAGTGGGATTTATTTTGATTGTTTTTACAAGTTGTAAAATGACAATAACATAGACTTTACAAACTTTTAAATGAATCTACTAGAAACATATTGAATTGAGAATGAATTGGATATATTTCTGAGAAAATCGGCATAATCAGGCAATTTCTAAATGGCCAAATCCACCAAATTAAACACAAATACAATACATGTATAATACAGTATTATATGTGGAAACATTCCTCATATCAAGAATCAAAGCATATATTGGAATTGAAATGATGAGCTTATCTCACAATTTTCACTTATACGTCAATTCAAATATCTCTTTGACTCCAACTTCAGTACACATTTTAAATGAATCATCACAATTCCCAAATTTCAATCGTTTTTCTATTCCTAAATTTTGGAATTTGAGGAATTATAATTCTACTCAATGTTTGACATTGTCTATCTTTTCAGGAGCCATATTCACAGAAAGGGGGATGTCTCAACATTGTACTAGGAATGCATATAGAGATCTTGTATGCCAACATAGGGTCTCTAGTCAACCCCCAAGCCAAGATAATTGGGATCTCGTTTATTTATGAATCTCCCCAAGACATCAAGTTCCAGGTAAGAGAGAGGTGTGATTGGGTGTATGAGTTTGGAAAATGGTGATATTTTATAAATACATTACAGTGATGTATGGCTATATTCCTGGTCACCATTCCCTCATTAAAACTGCATGCTGCAGGAAATACTGAGGGAAAGGTGAACATGGTTGTATTGAAAACATAAATTAGAATTCTGAATTATGGATAGAATCACCTATATTTTGAATGGGAAATCATATGAGAATGTTTCAACTCACTTGAAGGCACAGTACTTTGTGATTTGTAAAGGATATCAGTATGAGGGGTGATCCAAAAACAATATCAGAATGGAATCTACTCTCATCTGATATAAAGAACTCATCTAGCTTAAGCATATTTAAATCAAGCCTTAAAAGCAATATCATTAACGAAACTGTTATTAACTCATCAGAATTGTCCATCTCAAGAAATCAAGAAATTATATTTAACAGAGTACGATGTGATTTCATTTTCAAGGCTCATTTTTACTCGCATAACTTTACCAATGTAAATTCCCCAATCTGCTCATGTGGTATTAACAGTGAAACAACCAGCCATGTGATTTTTCGATGTAACTTGAGAGTAACATTCTGGACTGAATTAGAAAACCAACTAAAAAATATGAATATACATTATACAATACTCCCGTAAATATAAGACACAACGTGATAAACTTTCTCTGATCCTCAATGGTGATAAAACATTAAGTAGAGCTGAGAATCTGATTGTTTTAAAGTGCAGTGCCAATTTCTTCAAGCGATGTGTAAATGTCTGAAATCCTCCACAAAACAATTTTTATCTTATTGTATCTCATTTATTTTAATCAATAGTATTGATTGAATACATTGTATATTGTAATTGTAGAACGTGGCTAATAATGCTAAAAGCACAGCCACTCACACTGTATTTTTGTATTGTATTCTTTGTACAAATGAATAACTTAATAAAAAAAAAAAAAAAAAAAATCCAAAAGTCTTGATGCCCTGCTCTAATTAATCTTATAAAAAATACTCAGACTAATCCAGTAAATCATGTCAATATATTAGCAAAATCATCTTGCTTTTGTCTAATCACAAATAGTATACAGAACATCTATATTGTACTTTTTCTTAACTTTATTTGATATTTGACTGTACAAGCTATATGAAACAAAATAATACAATTAAATGTTTATTGACAAGAATATAATTCAGATTTTGTCTATCGCAATAAGTGAATTTAGAATATCAAAAATTGATATTTCTGTACTGGATATATTGAGTTTGAATTGTTATCCATATGTAATGATATTAAGAGTTTTGCTCTCGAAGAAGGGAACAGATCAATATAACAATCTATGATAAAAACTTCTGCCTCAAAACGATTGATTATTGAACGAATGATTATTCATTTTCAATATTGTTCCCTGGATTTTGTTTAAATCAATTTACACATTGTTAATGACGTGTCTTCTTAACACCCTCATTACTGATGTTTTTTTGTTGTTTTTTGTTGATATATTGGTATGTTTCCTGAGTCTATTTTGAATAATAGCTTTTCTACTCTCAGTCCTAAGAAATGGTATGGTTCCACCAATTTCAAATTAGCCTCACTAGTTTAAGTTATTTCAATTTGTTTTTATTGAATTTTTTCACCATCATTCATCATTTCAACGTGGATATTTTGGAATCAATTTTCAATTTAATTTTGATAGCTCAGTCAAATATCATACAATTGCTAACTACAATGTACATACACATGATACAGCGCACATTATGAATTTCAATGCAAACATATTTCATGTTTTGATAATCATTGTCTAAAATCCAATCACAAAATACATTTCCAATCAGAATGAATGTCTGGAGTATTCTCCTTTAAAGCAATAAAGCAACAATAATATGACAATTAAGAGGATGTTGCGATTTGGGATAAAATACTGCTCACTGTGATTGTACAAGACAATGACTATTATTTTATAAATAGAGGATGTTCTTTTTATTCCATAGTTAAAATCATCATCAGAATCGTCGGAAATTAAGTTATTTAATTCGAATTTTCCAAACAATCCGGAGATGTTGACACTTAGCCTTGTTTGAGTCTGCAGTAGCAAAAATCCATAAACCATTGCATACGGCGCCGTATGTCATGGCTAAAAAACCGTATGCTATGGTTAAGTGAAAATTTGTCAAAAATATCATATTTTACCACTGATTACAAAAATACTGTTTTTATTTTCACATATTATCCTATGAATATCATGCTAACTATGGAATAAAACTTGATATAATGTCATTATTATTTTAAAGATCTTCATCTCAGTTGACTGCCTTTTGTTACATTGAATAATTCATTCCAATAGGTCAATGATTTACTTGTATAATAACAAATTCTGGACCTAACTTTTGAAAGATGACATTAGTGCACCTTGCATTACCTTCATAGTATTGTACATAAGTATTTGTTTTAAGTTATCAAGCATATGTGCCTTCAGTCTTATTAGGATAAACTATGGCATCTTCTTCTTACTTAAGGCTTTCTCTCATCGGTGTATATAGCTCAGTAGGCTGTTCTATGGTTTGTGTTGTGAACCATACATTGTCATGGTCAAGGCCGTGTGGGTATTGACTCAACATGTTACTGATTCCTCAGGATTGTGAACTAAAATTAAAATTGCACAAAACCATTATATATTGTTATACATGAATACACAATTTAAAGGGACATCAAAGGATAGAGATGTCATTGGTCGGTAACTTTCGTCTTGTGAGTTATATTTGCGAAGGAAAAACACGGAAAAACAATGTATTCTTTATTATTTCAAATATAATGTAATCTCCCAATATACATGTGGTATGTTATCAATTAGTGAAGTTTAGTATTTGAAATTCAAAGTGTTCAATTTGCCACAAATATGTAAGTTATCTTTAATAATAAATGTGATGACCACATAAATAGAAAATGAACACATTATTGTTAAAATCTTTAGTTTTCCTCACATAACATACGGTATGTGTAATAGGATTTTTTAGAAAATAGACCCAACAAGGAATGAAATCAGCCTAAAATATAACAATTTGTTGTTCAGGTTGCTCAATGCTCACTAGATCTGATATTATCGTTAAGATTAACATTACACAATATCAACTTTAATATACATATATATGCTGTAATATGTTTTGTGTGAAAGATAGTTTAAGTTTATACCTTATTCTCTGTATTTCACAATGAAGAGATTGATAGAAGAGCAATCACCCACAAGAAGATTGCCATCGTGATCAATTGTGACTGCATTTGGCCGATACACCCCATCTTTCTCCGTCAACACATATCTCATGAATCTACCGTGTGGATCTAACATGTGTACCCGATGGTTGTACCTGTCTGCCACAAAGATGTAGTCCTCGGCATCAGTACATACTCCAAGTGGAGTGTTCAGTTCTCCTTCTCCATCACCACTTTCACCATATGAGAACACCTCAGTGCCATCTCTGTTGATTCCTTTCACAAAGTGTCCCAAATAATCACTGATTATAGCCACATCTTTGCTGTTGCATACAACAAATGTCGGATCCTTAAACATGCCTGCCACAGATTGCTGTTTGGATCTACCAGTTGAGGCATCCACACAATACACTGCTTCTGTCTCACTATCACAAACCACAAATTCACCAACTGAGTTCATTGTTATTCCCCAAAGGGTTTCTAACCTTTCACATACAAGATCATGTTTGTGGGTACCATCAGGCTTGAAGATACTCATTGAATTTGTTTTATTGGTAACAGCTAGGTTGTCACATTTTGTGTATGTGACACCTATAAATTTCTTACCAAAATCTTTTTCTAACTTGTAGGTGTTATCATACATTACTGCATTACTAGTCCCTCCTGCAACAATATATTTACCAGTTGGAGTCCCAACTAGGCCCCATATGTTTTCATTGTGAAGTTTTACCTTTTGAACAGATGGTTTACACAGTGGTTTTAGTTCCCTCTCTACAGGTATATTCTGATTGATGATTTTCTCAACAATAACCTTTCCATATTCAGCCTTAGCATCAGAACACATTGCAACTTGAAATTGCACATCAATTCTTGCATCAAAGTCAATCTCAAGAGGCTTGGTCCACTCTTCTGACTTCTGATTGGCCTGCTCAGCAAGATCTGCTATTTCTACTGGGTGGCCATGCTCTACCATATTGCAGTACTTGTTGACTTGACTCTCAATTACAGCTTTATTGAGCTCCAGGTGCCCAATGTGAGACAGGACTTGCTTTACATTTGTTTGCTTCTCGTGTGTCACCTGCTCTGTGAAAGACTTGTACTTAGATCGAACTATTTCAAATAACATGTTCATATCATTGTAGATTTTAGCAATGACATTTTCGATATCATCCTCAATTTTAGATTTATAGGCCTGTGCATTTTGAATTCCCTGGTTGTACATGTCTATAAGTTCTTTCCCCTGAGTTATAACTGCACCAATGGGTTTCATATTCCTGGCAGCTGTTTCGTTGATGTCTTCACAGGGGTGACCAGAATGGTTGATCACAAAACAAGACTGGCATAGAGCTGCCTTATCATCTTTACAGTAGTATTCTAAGGGTTTGGTGGGGTGTATCTTGCAGTATACGGTGCGCTCTTTTACCATTTGAAAGGCTGCTTGCAAATCATTTGCACTGTCACCTGTGATATCAAGTACTTTGTGACCTTGCAAAAGCAAGTCGTGAGTTTTACGGCATGCTACACAGAATCTCTTGTTGCAATCCAAACAGCGGATTTTTGCAGGGGTGTGTTTCTCATGGCTTTCGCATATTGAACATTCTGGCTCTTGGGTCTGATTACTGTCCTTATAGGCATCCAACAAGAATGTTATAGTAGGGCTCACCTTGAATTCACCCACTCCCTGTTGTGGTACATAACATACGTGGCGGCATTCAGGGCAATTAAAGCTTCCTCCTGTAAGGCCACTCTTCTCAACGAGGCCTTTAAGACACGTCAGGCAGTATGGATGTAAGCAAGGCAATGTCCTTGGGTCAGTTAGAATGTCCCGACACAGCGCACAAGTGAGACCAGCCTTATAATGATCATCGACATTTGAAGCCATTTTTCAATTTGGACTTTGATACTAGTCTTTGATGACATCTAGTGCTGCATATGTTTTATGTGTATGTCAAGTATGTTTTATTATCGATGGCTTCTTAATTTTAGTTAATCATTGATGGCATTTTAAACGTTATCATCTAGATTGGTTGTATATGATCACTAAAATGAAACTGTTTTCCTGTTTGTTTTATGTTGATCAGTTCTGAGAAGTTCTTAAATAGTATGATTCATTCAGGTTATAGTGACATCTAAACCTTAACAGCAAACAACCAACAATCAATAAAAAAGTGTTAAGTTGTGCAAACCGGAGTCTAAATAAACTTATTTTTACCCTAGAGTATGCATATACCATTTAGGTCAGCTTTTGCATATACAAAGTTAACTAAATGAAATACTTTTTTAATGGAAAAACATTAGTACTTAATTAATGATGCATTAAAAAAGAGCAGCTTTAGAATGATCATTTACTTGTACATTTTAAGCCTTTTAGCTCACATGGAATGGAATTGTAACTACAATACTTGTGCAATTTGACCTGGTTTTGTAATATGTTTGAACTTCTTTTGCAACTTGACCTCTTTGAAAAATGGCCTTTAAGTAAACATTGTCTTGTGAGCCCACTGATTTTATTTACTTTTTTTTGATTGGATATTAAAACTTATTCTGACGGCAAGTATATGTCTCTTATTGATGGTGCATAAATGTTTAGGGGAAATTGATCAATTTTAAGTAAAGGTTTAAACAACAGTTTAGTTAAGTTGGTTAATGAATCAGAAAAACAGTGACATCTTTTCATTGTGGACTCTTTTATTCATATATTACAGTGCTATATCAACTTAGCATTTAAATCAATTTTTTACAGAATGCCTCATAAATATGAATAAAAATATTTGATAAGTTGAAACATAGGTTTTAGTTATATCTTAAATGGTGTATTTGAGGCATTTCCAAATACTGTATAAGCACTGTACTTAAAGTATGAGTTTTAGAGAGGCCCACAGAATTAAGTATAATGCCAATAAGCAATTTATGATATCAAATAAATAACTTGCCAAAAGTCCTAAAATATATTTAAAATTTGATATTATTGTTTTTCCAGTGTGTGGGACCCTACTGCCGTCCATCAACAGCAAATATGACTCAAACCTTCGAAGTTGTCAGCTCAGTTGCTTTCATAGACACAACCCAGCCAGCTGTACCAATTATAGCTGAGAAGCCCTCTGTTACAGCTAAGCTGCCAAATGACTTCTTTTATCCATTTTATTATTTGAGCAGTGCCTCACTTACCAGGACATCATATTGTGTCACATTGTTAGTGTTAATGGTATATTTTTGTCATTGAGCAATTGATTGTAAAATGGAAGCTTTCTATTGCTTGACCAGGTCCCAACATGTTTAGGTTGATTTAAGTAGGCAGAAATGATTTACAATTTCAATTCAACCCAATCACAAAGAAAAGTTTCAAAATTCTGCAAGCCTAAAAATTGTAATTTCTGCCAAATAAACAAGTTTCCTGTTTTTGCTCTATAAGGCATCATATGAAAAAAATTCATTTCTGGCACATTCCCGGGTGTCAAGGATGCTGGGACATTTCTGTCATTGACCAATCAGATGAGGAAAATCAAAGGATCAGATACTACATATAGCAACGAATTTGTTAATTATAATCAATTTTATTGGTATTTATTGGATACATCTGCTATTGACAAGTGTATCAAATTTGAGCAAGTGATACTTGGATGTAAACAAGGGTATCCTAGTAGGTAATGATTAATATTGCAACATAAGTAATGGAATTAAAATAGAAGTGATTTAACACCATGGTTCAAATCCCCAAAATGACAGATATACTGTATTGAGGTTATATCAAAACCCTAAGATTACATCAAAACCCTAGGATATATGTCAGACATTACCATGTTACAGTAAAACCTGTCTAAGTGGAACAGCTTTGGTACAGCTAAAAAGTGTTCTATTTAGGAAGTGTTCCATTTTTAGATCTTTGGTTAACACTTAGTGGGTTGAGGAACTATGACAAGTGTTCCACTAACAAAGGTGTTCCATATTTCACTGTACAGTTTTTACTATACATATAGATCCATAGACCAAGGGACTTATATTGGATGTAGTGGTATGACAAGAGCTGACATATTTCAAATGTTGATATTGTAATCATCAATCTTTCATTGACAGGAGTAATTAGATTAAATGTCATCTGATATCTGCTAAAATCTATCATTTCCACTTTGTAATATTACAGCCTTTCAATATGTTTATCATTTAAAATGCATCTTCACTTTCAAAGTGATGGTGTTAATTTTAAAGAGGTTGTGCCATACTAAGCCATCCTTGTCATTCTTTGGAAATAATGGAATGTTAGTAGATTTATCTGATAGACACTAGAGATGATTACATTCAAACTGGCGCAATAATCTCATTAATAAATGTTTTTCACTTAAAACTAGATTTGAAAAAATGTTTGCCTGCAAAGTGGATTGTAAAGTGAAATGATAAAGATTTCATATGTTGATCAAATGTAATATTCCATATAGTTTTGTCACCATCTATTGTATTAGAACATCACATTCTAGGATCTAGACGTACTTATAGTTGTAATTACTATTTAAGATTTAAATCTATGACATGTGTTAGTCTCAGATGTTCATACTATTCCTTGTGTGTATCTTACATGTAGAGGAAACATGTATAAATGTACATAAATTGTAAATAAAATAAATAATCTGTAAGATAATATAAAGTAAAATACGTGTGTATTTAGTGTATACTCGGATGATCAATTCTGAACCTTTTCAGTCAATAACTATGACATGTAATATACCTAGTGGTTATTCACTAGAAGGGGTTCTATATAAATATATTTAGTAAAATCTGACGACCTGAATACCTCTCAATGTGAACACTTTGTCCCAATTTTGTATTCTTTTATAGGCTACCATGTAAAAACACTCAGAATGCGAACATCTGCCATATCCAAACACTTGGAGAGGTGTTCAGATTAGACAGGTCTTGCTTTAGGTTTTATCCTTTGGAAAAATATGATTTTTTTCCTCTGTATGCTCAGTCAGATATTACATCATCACTTATGTAACCCATTTATTATAATCCAAATCATTAGAATTTGACCTTTTTTATCCCAGGATATAAAAATACCTAAGTTCATCAAATTACGATCCTGTAAAGCATACGAATCAGGCAATCTTATTCGTGATAGGTTCCTAATTCCCACATATTTAAGATTCCAAGAGAGTGATAGTGGGAAGTTAATCACCAAATTGTAAATATTTTATGATGTTAATGAATAATTTGCCTCTTTATGTGATTTTTTTTGAATTCTTGATTTGAAGAGAAACAGAACAATTGTGCCACTCTTATCAGAGGTGATCCATTCCCCTTGTAAATTATTTGTGTTTTTAAGCTATTTCATGGAATTTGTGCACTTCTGTTACATTAGGGACTAGAAATAAAATGACCCTTAGAATTAAAGTTGAAACTCAGGTGCACATGTTGTATCTGGTACTCTAGCCATTCATATTGTGCATAGTGGAATATACACCTCAACTATAGTGTACGTCATTTTGTACATTTGCCCAAAACAATTATCCTTTCAGCATGCATTTACTTTTACATGTTAAATCAATTTGTGCTATATTGTGGCTGAAGGCTGAAATCTATCATACACATATGCTAGGTCTACATACTGAATCCATTACCTCAACATTATTTATTCATATACGCATACAAATTTATTTCATTTTCAATTGGAAGAGAATGAATATTTGATGAAGCAAAGGATTCATTACTGTTCTCTCAATAATCTATATACCTCCTCGGAGCAGTGGGGAATATCTATTCTTATCTGGTTTTTTATTCAAGGTCCGGCCTGGCATCAAATTTGTCTTGTCAACTAAATGGATGAATGTGGAAAGGCCAACCTTGTGTTCCAAAAAACTGGCCTTACCTACATTAAAGTTGGCCTTGTCTGAACTAAGCCTGGTCTCACCTAAGCTAGAACTGGTCAATACAAAAACTGGCCTCCCCTACACAAAAATTGGCCTGATCTACACAAAATGGCCTCCCCTACACAAAAATTGGCCTGATCTACACAAAATGGCCTCACCTACACAAAAATTGGCCTCATCTACACAAATGTTAAGTAGTGTCTCTGTTGAACATGTGATTTTAATGGTTTGAACCAGAATCTCACTGTTATAGATAATTGTGCTAATGTGCTAAGTTCATATTCCAACACAAAATGGTTCTCTGACTCCATTCTTTAGTATTGTATTTTTGACCTCATATCTTTATGAAATAATGTTTAACATAGTTGGTTTAATGTTTTATAAGAAAATACGGTTTTATAGTGCCAAGCCCCAAAGCGTATCTAAAAGGTTGCTTGGAGATTCAATTATATATTAGAGCCTGGGAATTGCCTCCTCACATATTATGAATGCAGCATTAATTTTTGATGAGAAACTTCACAGAAGCTCACACTTCTCCGAGACACATTGATTACACAAACTAAATTTATATCTTACAAAGAGGCATAAGAGGCAATACTGAAACACACAAAACAGACCCTTTTACAGTTAAAAATAGTGATATATGTGAAAGGTACAATTATTGCTATAACTATGGCTCAAATTCAAATCAAAATTGTAAAAGTGTTCAATTGGTTTTAAAATATACAATATTTCAGTTTGAAATATTAGGAAAGAAGTATCTGAACTTTTCTCATTATTTCCTTAAATTGATCAATTAGGCCATAAGAAGTAAATTCTTTGTTTTGCGTCCTGGCAAAATCCAAATCATGTAAGGGTACAAGGAAAACAAACACAAACTCAAGGAAAAACACAAACTTGTTTGCTAGGAAATGTATATATCTTATGGGCATGAAAAGGGATGAAATACCAATTAGCAATGATTACAAACACATATATCTTACACCTCTGAATCATTTACATCATTTACATTTCTGAATCAGATGAAACGAAATACGATGATACTTTCAGACCATTGGGATTGCTACCATTTGGATGTGTTTGTTTTTTCTGATTTACTCAAAATCGTGCAAGCAAGGGGACACAAAACAAAGAATCTACTTCTAATGGCCTTATGCATGTTTTAAGGTAAGCAGAGTGTGGCAGTTATGGGTTATATTAAATGAAGCAGACTTCATTCAACTGAACTCACCTTAAACAATGGTGACAATGAATGATTTTACAATAAATAATGGATGATTTAACAATACATGTTATATATTTAAACTTAAATTTAAAAATGTTCATATGTATACCCATTGCTTGTCAAATTCAGAATCTGTGAAAATTACATTCATGAATCAGACATGTTTTATACCACAAAACACTAGAAATATGTCAATACCATACATGTTCACCAATAATTGAGCATACACAATTTACAAATTGTATTTACGGCAAACAAAGTAGATCCATAGACAAAGGGATTGGTATTGGGTGTAGTCATATTACTTCATCTATTATTTATACATATTTATTACACTCACTCCAGGCGATATTCAATATTTATGATGATGAATTTTTCATGAATTTCGGCAGATGTACCAGCTAGAAAATTGATTGCAATTTGTTTTAAACCGTTCTACAAAACTTGCGAGGCATTACTGGTAATGGGGAAATGCGAGAAACATATAATTAATATGGAATACTAGGCTATGGAAGAGAAATATATCAATTTATTACACTTTTCTAGTATTATAGAAATCATTTTTGGTGATTATCATTCAATCATTTTCACTATGGTGTACAAGAATGGTTATCAAAAGGGATCAAAAGTAACCAATTTAATTAATGTCATATTTGCTGTGTCATTTTTCCATTCATCATTTTTTCTGTTATGACCCTAACATGTCAACACATATTTATCCAACTTCTATAGTGGGTGTTTTTGTGAACACCTTTTACTGAGTGTTCACTTTGAGCACTTTTTAGTATGATACTGGGCTTTCACATTCATCTAAGACAGGCTTTACTATTGTTTAGTCAGTCCTTATTCTTCACTCAGTTTTCTATCAAATTTTATCAAAAATTTCTCCTTAAATTTTCTTGTATATAATCAAAATGTAAAAGTATGTTTTTTTAAATACAACACACATAAGAAAGAATATCTAATTAAAAAATAAGGTTTATTTTGTCAAAATAAACTTCCAGTAAAGTGTATCATTGCTTATACCACATAGATGGACATTAGATACTATATTCTATTAGAAATAAAATGGGGAACCATTGCATGCCTACGTAATGTCAATGCTTAATAATTTATAAGAAATCTATTTTGAGCAGTGTGCAGACATACAACAATGAACTAAATATTTGACACATTGAAATAGTCTGTTATTTTTGGAAGTACAACCAGATGGACGCAACATTAATAATTAATTTCAGTAAATCTAATGAACTGCATGTATATTGTATGTGTATATTATAACCTTGAATTATTTTATGATATCAATTATAGGGCTTTTCCTCTTTTTGATACTGTGATAGTATCCATTAAAAAGCTTACCAATTTACTTACCAAGAAAAAATCTCATAAGTTCAGTTCCCTGTTAACATATTATATAAGCAATAGATGTAAAAAAAATGTTAACACAGCTTGAAAATGCATTGTAAAAAACAATAAGAAAATGTACCAATAATTATATCAAAATCCTGCTCCTTGTCAACTTATTGTTAACCGAAGAAGGATACATTTATTATTCATTACCTTTTACCAATTAGGATGCCAAATATTTATAGAGATGAAGGTATATCATTTATGTTTATGTCAGTTTCCTTGGATACACATAGGTGTGTTCTCATCAATCACATTAATTGACATCCAAGGTTGGTAGGTTGGTCATTACTGCATCATAATCTTAGAGTACATCTAAGAATGATGGGGTACCCTCCAATTATTAAACTGCCAAACCACATCAATGCTTTTCAGTTTTTTAAGAACTGCCTTGGTGATGAGAAATAATGTGAAAATAACGCTACTTTTTATTTATTTTTTAATATAATTCAATGATTCTTTTCCATTTTCCATGAAAAAATAATAATTTATAATCTTTTATTTATTTACAACAAAAATAATGATTTCACTGATCACAGATATTATATCATTACAATAGAATAGTTTTCTTCACTTCCCTAATTATTTAAGATATTTACCAGTAGTTGTACTTTGATAAGTTTTGCAATACATTATTTTTTTAAGTGAACGACATGACAGGCAAACTCGTGGACTCCACTGGTCAGAGTTCCACAAATGTTACACTGCCAAGGTTTGTTATGATTATGAAGCCCCATATGTAATTGAAAAATAGTTTGATCAACAAATATAATCTTACAATGGGGACACATGTGCAAGGAATCCTGATTCGACAGCACAAATTGTAAAACATCGTCCTTTTCTCCAGAATTATCTTTTGAAGCAATTTGGACATTTTTGGCATGATTTGAATTATTGTCAATATGTGTCTCCACTTTTTCTGTTTTGATTCTAGTTTTTGTGATGGGATCAGTAGCATTGTCATTTTGTCTCTTCATATACTCATCTAGAGCAAGACGTACATGTTCTAACTCTTCAGATGTATCAGTCTTTGTTAAGTCAACAGGTTCTAAAATCAGAGATCCACTCAGCGGTGTATCATCATGATTTGACTGGTTTGAATATAATGTAGCGCCTGATTGGTTAGACCTGGGTCTCTCCGTCAAACCTTGGTTATCTGACGCTGGTGTACATGGTTGTCCTCTGTAAATATGGTCCCGTAATTTTTGATAGTCTCTAAATTGTGTTCCACATAAGTAACAGATAAGTCCCATAAAATTTGTCCCATGTTTGAAAATTGGTGACTGGGGTGTATTGGACACTGAACTAGGTCTCAGATCATTTAGGCCCTGTTCTATAGACTTGATCTGTTTAGTAGGAGGTGCATCACAATCCAAGCTATGTGCTTTACGTTTAATGGCTGCGGCAGTTGGTTGACTGGTATCTATGTTGCCTTCACTGTGGCACTCACGTGTATGGTCAATATGTTTATGTTCATTCATTGGTTGCTCTTTGGGAAGTATGGGGTGGGAGGGGGGAAATTGAGAATTTGATTTGTGAAGTACAAGAGAAGCTCTCCAGCCAACCTGTCCAGTTGAGCCCTGTGGCTGAATAGATGAGTTGAGGCTTGTTTTTGGGACAAGAACTGGTGAGTTCAAGCTTGTTCTTTGAAGAGATTGCTTTCCTGAACTCCTTGTTAATTTTGCTCCTGGGCTTGACTGTTCTCCATTGTGTAGAGGATCATTTGCTTGTGACATCATATGCATTGCCAGTTCATCTTGAGTACCAAATGCCTGGCTACATTTACGACACCTATAACGCTGAATGTTATAAACATGTTTCAGCATTTGTTTTCCATATTTACCAGAAGTGCTTGAATCGCGGGCAGCTTTTGAAGCATCTACTTCCTGTTTGACGTGCATCAGGACATGCATCGCCAGTGAATCCTTACATGAAAATGATTGCTTACAGACTGTGCACACATAAGCAGCGTTTACTGCCGTGTTTAGTGTTTGGTTCTTATGTTGTTGTTGCATTGAGGCCTTCACAGTATATAAAGTCTTACATACCTTGTTATGTTCAACTGATTCTTGAATGGGAACTTGTTTTCCACAGTACATGCAGATTGAAGTTCCCACTCTTGGAACACATTCTGGTGTTTTATTTGTGTCATTTCTTTGTTGAATTGCAAATACCAAAGCCTGTTTGATCTTGGCTGCTTGTTCATTGTTACTCATATTTGGCTTTGCTGCTTCCTTTTCATATTTTGTATTGGCTTTTGAAGTAGGATTTTGAATTTTATCAAGTGGTTTAATATGTACAGTTTGTTGGAGTTCAGATTTGATGTTTTTGCATGTGCCGTTCTGTGCAACAGATAACATATGCATTGCATATGCGTCTTGTTCCGTGAATGTCTGTTGACAGGATTTACAAATATACACGTCCTCGGCAACTTTCATTTTATCAATATGACTGGCACTTCCAAAATGTCGCTCCATATCTTGGTCATGTGAAAAACTAATATCACATAATCTGCAGGTCACATTATCGGTTACATGCTTGTGGAGGGTTCTTTTTAATTTATCGAGACATTTAGCAGTTAGCGGATGGAATTCCTCGAGATGTGTTGCCATGGTTACATGTTTTATTTCACTTCTACAAATGTAACAGTATTTAGAGCAGTTCAGATAGCCGAGTTTGTGACTGATGAATTCCTTATGAGTGTTGAAACTTTCTTTGCAGTTTACACATGTTGGTTTACTATGCGCATTTGTACCAGGGGGCGTCCTAGCTCTCCGATATTTCATCCCTAGGTGACGATGTATATTCAACAGTGTGGAACTGTTGATATGGGGATTCTGAGCTTCATATATATTTGTATCCATTGTCTCATTCTTTATCATTTGGCTGGTTGTCATGGTTGCAGGTATTGTGCCGCCATAGGAACTGCTATCATGGTAACCATCATCAATCTTTTCCAGCTTAATCTTAACACCATCCATATCAGCTGGAATAACAAATAAAAAAGCTTAATAGAATGTTCAATCTATAGTAAACTTTATAAATTTTTAAGTAAAGTGCACTCCGAGGAACAAGTCAGTAAACCTACTATCAGATATACAGTTGTCTCTGGATTATTAAAAGAATTTGAAAACCTCATTATGTTCATGATATCTTATTTAAATGATGTTTGTTGACTAGTCATTGGCATTGATACTTTTATTTTCTTTGAAATCACATCAAGATCACTTTTATCCATATAAGCTCCATGTTATTTCCCATCCAGAAATATCAAGACATTTTGCAATTAACTGACTATACACTATACAGGGTGATCCAAAAAATTGGAACATTTGTTAATTGAACACAAAACCTTTATTTTTCCTCTAAAATGCACCTTTTTACTGAGCATGGTTCAGTCACTTACTATATTTATCTGATGTAAAGTTTATAGGTGAAAACCACAAAGTTAATGCATTAAACTAGTCAATGTTTCATAGGACCCCCTTTTCTTAAATATACACTTGTCAATTTCGCCGCTACTTTTTCAAGTATTCTTTATTTCAAAGCTTTAAATGAACATAATGATTGCGAGGCTTGAACTTGTAATTCAGGAGAAAAGGGGTCATATCAAACATTGCCTAGTTTAATGCATAAACTTTGTTGTTTTCATCTATAAACTTTACATCAGATAAATAAGTGACTGAACAATACTCAGTAAAAGTTTGGTGCATTTTAGAGGAAAAATAACGAATTCAATTATCAAATGTTCCAATTTTTTTTGGACCACCCTGTAGTTACATGTTTAATTAGGTTTTAGCATTTGTTTACTTTTTCCTGAAGCAGTTTATTCTTTTCATTATAAAAAACAACTAGCACATCGAAGCAATAAAAACTGAATAATAAAAAGTAACTTTCTGAAATATTGTCAATTTTACAAAATTCTTCAATATCACATTCATGCCTATTTTCTTATATAAAATATCAATTCCATGATAATCCTTTAAAAAGTTGCCAACTCCCTCACGAATTTAGGCATTCTAATAATAAATATTAGAATGTGTAGGGGAAACATTGTCATGCTTTTTGAGAAGTTTCTTCCAATATTTCACACTCTTCCTATTTGCTAAACTGGCATACCAGATTAATTTTCAATCAAAGCTGAAAAGTTCATAGTTCATTTCAAGACAATTCTTTGTTGGCACTTTAAATATGGTAACAGGCAATAGGCATACAATCTTTTTGTCGCCACTCTGAAGGCCCCATATAAAGTTTAAACCACTTTGGCTTATATTGTAGTCTTACCCAATGTTATCAAAGCGTGATATGTGAAACCTTTTTTATAAATTTCAAAAAGTGGTTTTTGATAGACTTTTTGTTCCAAAATTTGTGAATTTATTTCAAACCAACTTTTAGAGGTCACTCATATCTTCTAATTAGCCACAATTCATACCAATGCATAGCATTCATCCTCCCAAAATTTATTTATTTGTTCATTTATTTACTTATTTATTTATTATGAAGTGTTAATTTTGTGTGTTGTTATATGTACTGTTTTCTGTTGTATTGATATATTGTAAAATTAGTGTTTACTTTGTGTACACTTAACCTTTTATGGGTATGAATGTGTAATAAAGTTCATAAATCTTAATCTAAATCTAAATCCTCCCATGTTTTTTGCCGAAAAAATTAAGTAAATCGGTTCATAAATAAGCGAGAAATGAACTTATCAGTGCATGAAAATGGTTCTGAGAAAAATGCATTTCAAAATTTTAGTTCTCATAGAAACCAATGGTACAATGATATCTAAAACATAATTTATTCTTCCTTTTAACCTGGTTAGACAATCAACATTGGTTTTTTATAAAAGTCTAACATATTTAGAAAAGATTGACATCGAAAAAAAAATTTCAATTTTTTTCAAAAAGTTTTTGGTACCTTAGTGACATCACTAATGTTTCAAAATATTTTTGATATGTTAAAACATTGAAGTGGCCCATTAAATATGGCATTTTATTATTGAAATAGTGTGTCCTTTGTTCAACCTTTGCATTGGTGTTAAAAAGATAATCTTTTTTGAAATGCATTAAGAAATATTTGATGATTAAGAAATTTCAACTTTTTTTGAAAAATGGCGGGAAATTTGAATATTTGAGAAATGAAATGCTCACAACTTTTTTTTCAAAAATTTTTTTTTGTTCAAAAATCTCTAAAATCACTTTTTAAGTCCTAACAAATAGTAAATGAATGATAAAAAAATATTTTCAAACTTTAGACGGGGACTTTAAACATTGAAACGCTTTTTATATCACCCATTGTCGATTGATTCACTAAGTGGAAAGTACTTGAATATACTAGAAGACATTTCAGAAAATCATACTTACCAGTTGTCCTGCCCTTGTACCTCACAACTTGATAGATTAGTATGGTTATATTCTGATTTTTACACAATAAAATGCTAAATGTCCAAATGTGTAACTTTCAGGCTCTTGTCTCCTTTTCAGTCAGCTGTGTACTGCTGTATTACTTAGACTGAAGTTCTTACCTCATCTAGCCCCTATTCCAACCTATCACATGGTCATAGAAAATTAATGGAATGTTCCCTATTAATTATTCATACCAATGTATGTATGCATGCTAGTGCCCATATAGGGGGGTAATATGATCTAATGGAATAATTTATGATTTAATTGGACTACACTTAGCCCCTATGGTGCCTTCCCAATTATCATTAGCTTAATTTCAATATGTTCCTGATCTTTAAAATTTAATCATTAATATTCTCTGTGTTGATATACCGGTAATAGATAATTGAAACATGATTAGAAAGATTTCAACACTGTTTTTGAAGTTTAATTCAATCAAGAGAGTTGAGCATTGAAAAAAAATGTTAGCATCTTGATTTAAAAAAATGTATAGCCTACTTCATCTTAAATATATTTTTTAGAAATTTAAAAGATGCAAATTAACAAATGAAAGATGTTAAATGATTTAGAAAAAACGACCCTGTACCAATTTTGTATTTTTGAAAGCTCAAGTCATAAATAATTACAAATCCATTGTATATTTTGAATAGAGTATTATATTGATTACAAAGACTTGCTCCTAGGCCCCCCAAGCTGTAAGGAAGCCATCTCATCTGACAAACATACTATGAATTATTGATTGTTTCAACAACAGTTTCTTCCTGAATTATTAATAACCCTAAAGCTGACAACACTGTTTTCATGAATAATTAATGCATTCAATAATGAATAAGAAAGAAATGGAGATTAAAATGAAATAGTAATGAGGCTGTGTTCTAATCACCTGCTATATGTACAATTAGTTCTCATTGGACATCTAGCGTCACTTCCTTGAAACATGATATTATAGTTCTATTCTATTGAGAATAACCGTGCAACTTTCATGATATTCCTCAATGCCTGGAGGGATTCTTATGAAAATGATGATAAATGGAGGAATTATTCTGGTTTATATCATATTACATTATTGATATTATATAAAGCAATGGTTGGTTTTTATTTGGAAATATTGCTTGTAATTTGATCTTTAATTAACTATCAAAATTTCATTGCTCTTTATATAGGGGCATGTGGGAATTAACACATTACTGTACGCCCAGTATTATTCGCGTGCGATTAACTTTCGCGCTTTTCGCGATGGTGTTAAAATCGCAAAAATTATCGTCGCGAAATTGCCAATTAAATCCCCGGGAATTTGTTTTTACCTGGGGCTCTGATGCATTTCGTCAACTTCTGATCCCTCCATTCCTACATCTGTAAGAAGAACTACAACATGCACTTCGTTTTGTGTAAAACGTTTCGTCTAGTGTTATTGGGCGATAATTGGATGATTTCCACCAACATGTAATACAAAATATGAATTCAAACTGCGGTTTCGTTTTAAAATAAGACCGAAATTAACGATGCGATAATAGAAGTTGATATGCAGCTTGCCGATGATAAAGATCCCAGTTATTGTAAATCTGATCCAACTATGACATCAGGTAAGTGCAATTACTGTACATCTACTAGTAATTTAGCTTGAGAATTCGCGAAATTTAATAGCCGCGAAACCGTGTTTTCGCAAAATTCACGAAATTAAAGCTCGCGAATAATACCGGGCGTACAGTATACTAATTATCATTAACAGCCTTTTTTAATTTACAAGATATAACAATCTTTCACTGAAGCACCATACCTCACCTTAGCTACTTATGTTACTCCAACAATTTAAATTCTATATTTTATACAACGTGTTTTATTTCGTTGAAAACTTACAAAAATATTTGCATACTTGTATTACATATATACACCGTTACTTACAATTGTACGCAATCAGCCAAGTAAAAGTGGATTTACTTTACAAACATGTATGCAATACTATATGTTACATTTTCAATTCAATTAATACATTTCAGCCTACTCGCAGTAAAATGCTATTTTTTCACATTACATGAATATTACAAAGCAAGTATTTTCAAACACTTGATAAATTATTCATTTGATAATTGAAATAAATGATGTAAGCTTTGATAATATTGTAATGATTCAACGTGAGAAGACGGCTGCGTTTGAATTCCTGAACATTTTATGCACTAATATAGATGTCACTGAATGCTTGAAGACAGAAATCAGAGACATTGTGAGTTTACCAAAAAGTAACCCCCAATGCAATACTCAAAACAGTAGGTTTACTACTGTACCTTGTAACACCAAATTATTCATATTCAATTTAAATACATGTCAATTCAGTGTTCAAATTCAAAAAAATATGAATCTATAGATTCATGGTTTAAAGGATTTCACTGTTTCAAGTTTGCTGCGTCTACATACTACTCTGTATGTAATATCATATTACTAGTGAATAGATAGCAGCTGTCATTATTACATTTTTAGTTGTACATTATTTTCTAAATATTCAAGTACATTTATTCAATTGCTCATTTCAGGTAAAGTATCTCGCCTGCATAAACATAACGAATATCTCAATAAGAAAACAACATTATGGTTAATATTGGAAGAAAGTCTCTTTAGTAATGGAATTCTTCAAATAATTTCTAGGATTACGAAATATTCTTTACGTTCTTGTCACCTCCCAAAAATCAAGGATTTTATCCCCCTACCCTTTCTAAATTTTCCTAGAAACAGTATGGGAGAGGGTTATCCTTGATTATTTAATATAATGATGTTAGTCTTCACATCCAGGACCTACAAACCATAGCACGTTAGCAACAGCTAGATGATTAAACACTGACACACAGGCAATGTAACATCATAGATACATCACACTCTCCCAATCATTTATGCTAAAGACGTTTAGGCCCTTTTCAGTATTTTCATATTCCAAAAGATATAATCATTAGACCATGTTTTTCCTAATATCAATGTTCATGTATGGATACATATATATTTTCATGAACATTTGAAAACATGTGGCATGTTAAGTTTTTCCACATACAAATATGTCCTAGTAAATAAGTCAAATGACACTATATCAATCATATAGTGAGTTACTCAGTGATTCTGCACTCTAATAAATTAAAAGATTATGTCTTTCAGCGTTTATGCAAAGCAGATATCTATCTATCTGTTAGATGTGATAATAAAAATTAATGGTTCCTGAACAGGAAAGTGACCACATGATATAACTCTTAACTAAGTAACTTTAATTCAGTAATTCTACTTCAATTATCAGGGACCAGTTTCTGGGACAAATAATATATATAATTATTCAATTCTACCTCAGAATATCAGGGGTCAGTTTTCAGAATATATCTTAGCATACAATAAAATATAACTGTTGGAACCATTTTTTCTAGGATATATTCAATAAACTGGCCCCAGGGTCTTTAGATGCTTTTAATACAAAAAGTTGGTCTTTGTTTCTGTATTAATACCAGTGATAATACTTTCGCAATGCTATAATAAGTAGATACCAGTATTAACCGTCAAAACATGCTTTTCACAGGGCAAATATGCTTGAAATGTAACCAAAAATATTGAAGCCAACATTGAATTGCATGATATCTATTGGTTCTATGACAAATGGACACTTATCTATTTATTTCAATGTTAAACCAAAAATAGACAATTTTTGAGATTTAATATACATGATGGATTGATCCGTATTCATATGTACTGTTTGAATCAATTTTCTACAAACTGTTGTTATATAGATGCATAGAAATTCAAAATGTCCTACTTTTTCTACTATACATGTACATTGTTAAAATATGTAATTTCTACAAAAATTAAATATTATTTATAGTACAATATTATGTAGTAAAAATACTACATTTTACTAGGGTTATTTACTACGTTTACATCATCCTGTAGTGTTATTTATATACAATATGTCGGTTTCACAACCTAATGCAACCTAAGTGCACCAATTATATTCATCAATGATATTCACTCCTGATTCTTTTTATTCATCTCGGACCTGTTCATGACACTCAACTTTTGATGTCTTCTGAATCTAATCCATATCAAAGTTAGCGTTTAACACTCATTTTTATAAATGTACACTCATCTCAAAGTTTTTGCCCATTCATTTATAAATAGCCCAGAGATCCAAACTACATGAGAGGAACAAGCAGGAGATAAAGTGAAAACATGCTTTGAGTGACATCTATACAAAGCTATGTTTACGACTGAGCAGATTAAAAAAGGATAATCAATTTCCTTACAATGGATTGTTCAATATTTCATGTTCATGTTCATCTGATATTCCTCACTAATTCCTCTCTTGTAAACCGAAAGTAGTTATGATATTTCTCTAAATTGGCATGCGTCACACTTTCTTCTTTGAATGAAATATTTGAATGTCTCAATATTCAAGAAACCCCAATAAAGCCATATGTAGTCTAGAAGCTTAGGGAGCATACATTTTTACAATAGTCATACAGTACATATGGGAGCATTCAGTGTGTGTCTATCAGCAGCCTTGTTCTCCATTCACAAACCACAATTATGGGTCACCTCAACCTCAGTTCTTTATCAATGAGGTCACAGAAATCTTCAGGATTTCTTGGTAATTTTCCATTTCGGGTGGTGTATTTCCTACGAGGTTTATGACAGAATTTGGGCATTGTTACATCATATAGTTTGGATTACCGCCACCACTCATTCCCTGTGGTCCCATTTGGCGAGCTGTATTCTGAGCATACATTTGTTGTTGTTGAAACGTGGCATTAAATCCAGGATCATTTCCATAACTGCCAGCAGAGCCTCCCACAGGTGGGCCACCAGAGTTCATCATACGTGGATCAGGAACACCTGGCATACCACCTCCGCGCATTTGAGAATCTGGGCCCATTTGACGCATTTGGGGATCCATACTACGCATTTGGGCAAGCTGAGATGGGTTCATAGGATGATTTAAAGGGGGCATAGGTCCTTGACCTTGCATTGTTATATTCTGACCCTGTATTTGTATATGTTGACTGCCTTGCATCATAGGTCCCCCAGGGGGTCCGGGTGGCCCACTATACTGCATAGAAGACATCGGGCCACGATTGCCCGCCATCATCATTGACTGCTGTTGCATCATCTCCATACTGTTCATTGGGTGACGGGGCATCATACCTGCCATCTCCCCAGGGGGACCTGGAGCCCCTGGAAATCTGGGCATTGGTCCACCAGGGCCCATCATTTCACGACGTGTCATGGCTTGCATCTGTGCCATTCTCATACCAGGTATTTCCCCATGATGGTTTTGAGAATCATTTGCATTTGGGAAATACTGGAGTTTTTTAGTTGGCAATTTTGATTCTAGATCCTTCATTGGTGTTGCATATCTACTCATCATTTCCATTTCTGGTCGAACATTGACAGGGTCTGAGACTTGCTGAGGCATAGGAGGTCCCCCTTGGTTAGGCATGTATCCTATTGTGTTTGGTGCCTTGGCTTGAACATGTACTCCTGAGCTGCGGCCTTTACCTGGGGGTGCCCCACCTGGGCCCCCAGGGTTGGGACCTCTAAATGGCGGACTTCCAACTGGACCCATGGACATTAGATCTGGTGTTACACTTTGAGGTGGTACCTCAGGGGATCCGAACCTCTGTCCGGGGGTAGCCGGCACTGGAAATGGACTTGGTTGAGATGTAGGAGTTGGGCCCCCTGGTTGCCCCCCAGGACCATACTGTGGCCCACCTGGATGAGGCCCTCCTGGATGTGGTCCTGCTGGATGAGGGCCTCCTGGGTGTGGTCCACCTGGATGTGGCCCCCCTGGGAACTGTTTAGAGCCAGGCATACCAGGCATATTTGGATCACCTGGGAACTGAGAATACTGCTGTTGTGGATTAAATTGGGGGCCCTCCTGGGGATTTGGATACTGTCCGAATGGACTCTGAGGAGGCCCACTTTGGGGGCCACTTGGAAATCTTTGCATACCATGAGTGTCCATGCCTGGTATGCTTCCCCCCATGTTCATCATTTGGGCCTGAGACATTGACATACTAGTGTTAGTAGGGAGGGGGCCTCCAGCCATCATCTGGCTTGCCTGGGCAGTGGCAGGACCAGGAAGAGGCTCATTCATACCACCTCCAGGTCCGGTACCACCCGCTATGTCATTGTTCATTTGCTGGACCTGCATAGCAGGATTACTCATTCCTCCTGGGTTATTCACACTTTGTATATTCAACTGCTGTATAGACATTGTAGCGTTCACGTAGGTATTATTAACACTTGGGGGCCCACTTGGGGGGATACTCGAATGAGGAGGGATACTATTTGGGGGCATTTGTTCATTCTCCGAGATCTGACCCTGAATCTGTATATTATGGAATGGTCCCCCTTGAAGCATGCTCTGTTGCATCTGATTGGATAAATGTTCTACGCCTTTTGCCAAATTGGCCAAGCTCGCTGAGGTAATGTTTGATGTCAAGTTTGCCTTATTTGCATTGTTTTTACTCCCTGGGGGGTCAAAATGAGACAGACGTTGGCCTGGTGAGGGAGGTGCTCCAGAACCAGGTGCCGTGCTTAGAGCAGGGTGAGTCCCATGGGTTGGTTGTTTGGCTTGCTGGGGTAGGGGTGATTTGACCCCTATTGAGCTAGTTGTCGTGGTTACGCTAGAGTTTGGGGCTGATGTTGTGATTGTTGAAGTTGTAACTACAGTAGTACCTGGAAACAAAGAACACAAACATTTTACCATATTATCACAATCGAGTTATGATTTCACATTTTACTGGTCATGATTTCATGTCACACTGATCATAATTTTATGTCACTTGACACAATTTTATGTCATGCTGGTCACTATTTAATGTCACACTTGTCATGATTTCATGTCAGACTGATCATGATTTTGTCACATCTGCATGATTTTACGTCACACGAGTCCTAATCTCTTGAACACTGATCTTAATTTCATATCATTCTTGTTGAAATAGTTTTATTTCTTGGAAAATTAAATTAGTTCTTTACATTCTAGAGTGCTCAAAGAAACTCCTGTTTAATTCACTCTGCTGATTACATTGCTCTAAAATAATGTTTTATATTTCCATTCTTTAACAAAATTATTTCAAATCCTTACCTGTGGTAGTAGTGCTAGAAACAGGTAATGGAGACTTTGGGACCTGGGGGCCAGGGGTAGATGGGGTCGCTGGCTTCTGGATGGGTGATGGTGGTGGCATCTGTTGGGCAGGAGATGGGGTGGGGATAGGTGATGGGGAGGGAGCTGGTTTTTGTTGAGCAGGGGATGGAGCTGGAGGGGGAAGGGGTGATTTTATGGATGTTGCTTTATTTGATCCTGGGGCTGTCATGGGTGACCCCACAGAGGTCGGCATTGGGGAATTCAATGATGTGGTGCGGGTAGTTCCAGTTGGTGCCCCCTGCGGGGAGTCCTGAAAGGCAGAGTTCATCTGTTTTGTAATAGTCAATTCCTGACCCTCATATACATTCATATAGTTCATTTGTTGTGGTGAGGGAGTGGGTTGCAGTTTTTTATTGGCTTCATCAATGCCATTTTCTCGCTTCCGTTTGGTTGATTGAGCGTAACTAGGGGGTGGTTTATTGGGACCTGTTAAATTGTTTATTATTTCTGGTGTAAGAGGTTCAGGGTTGCCAGCTCGTTGTACAATTGCTGGTGTTTTTGCACGGGAATTTTTTCCCCTTCCTCTTGTTGGTTGGTGTGGCATTCCGGGTCCCATTCCCATGTTCATGCCAGGTCCCATTCCTGGCCCCATGGGCATACCTCCTGGCCCCATGGGCATACCCCCAGGGCCCATCATGCTAGGGTCCATACCTCCTGGCATCCCTGGTGACATGACCGGGTGATTAGGGCTAGGGAAACCTGGATGCCTAGGGCCAGGGAAGTCAAATTGTGGCCCTCCAGGACTAGGGGAGGGATGTCCTGATGATATATGTGGAGAGGGCATAGGTCCATTTGTATTAGGCGAGGTAGGTGTGCCAGTCATGCTAGCCCTACGACCCCCCATGTTGTTGAAATATGGAGGAGGGGGGCCTTGCATGGGGTTAGGTCCACCTGGGGGACAAAAGGGATCTCCCCCGGGATTCATATGTTGCATTTGCATCATCTGCTGCTGCCGGACCCTTTGTTTATCAGTGTAGTACTCCTGCTGAAGCTTCATCCAGTCTCTCTGGGCAGGGGTCATGTTCTGGGGGTCAATGCCATAGGGAGTCATCATCATATTTGGTTGGGGGGACATCATATTGTGTGGGGGACCTGGACCCATTGGACCACCTGGACCCATAGGGGGACCACCTGGACCCATAGGAGGGCCTCCGGGTCCCATTGATGGACCACCTTGGGTCATAGGCGGACCTCCTTGACTCATGGGGGGACCCCCTGGACCCATTGGCTGTTGGCCCATCATCATGTTAGGTGAGGGTCCATGCGGGCTCATCATTTGTTGCTGGGGGTTCATCATATTAAACATTCCATCAGGAGGGCCACCCCCTCCCCCTGGTCCCTGCATCATGTTAGGCCCCTGGGGTGGCATACCCCCTGGTCCTGGAGGTCCATTCTGGCTCGGCATACTCCCAGGAGGCCCGCTGCCACCCTCTTTTTCCGGGAAGAGCATTTGTTGGATTTTACGAAGGTTTGCCAGAGATTCCTCCCGCCGTTGTAACTGCTCTGGTGTAAGGTTTTCATTTGGTATCCGTGATGTCTGAATATCTCCAGAGCCTTCTTGCATATCCATAAGATTTGCGGCCGCACTCATCATTTGATCATTGTTCCACCTGCCAGGCATGGCCATATTTGGATCTGCGCCATTTGGGGGCATTCTGGGATTGGGGCCTGGAGGCATAGTCCCGGGAGCACTTGTCGGAGGCATATTGCCCATACTTTGTGGTGGTAAATTCCCCATACTCTGTGGAGGCATATTGCCCATAGTACTTGGTGGAGCATTTGGGGCTCCATTGCCCATTGAATTAGAGCTCTGGGGCATATTACCCATTGTACTTGGCAGCATATTTCCCATTGTATTTGGTGGCATATTGCCCATTGTACTTGGTGGCACATTGCCCATAGAGTTCGGTGGCATATTTGGTGGCATATTGCCCATAGAGTTTGGCGGCATATTGCCCATACTATTTGGAGGTATATTGGACATACTGTTTGGAGGCATATTTCCCATTCCTCCATAATTGGGAGGCATGTTCGAAGGCATATTTCCAATTGGATTTTGGCCCATAGTCTGTTCACCCATAGGATTACTCGGGTCAAATCCACCAACATTTCCCATTCCCTGATTTGTGGCCATATTGTTTCCTGTCATATTGTTCATTCCAGTTTGTTGTAGGTTCGCGTTTTGTTGCTCGACCCACTGAGCGACACTTTGATTTCCATTGCCATTGCTTCCCATCATGCCTTGTGATGTCCTATTTGTCGTTGGCCCACGAACATTAGCCATATTGTAATTAGGTAGACCTGCTGGCCGATTAAACTGTGACACTTTCAGTGGATGTTTCTGGAAATAAATAGAGGATATTCTATAATTTGTGAGTGATACAATTTTTATCTGCGAATGGATATTGATATTTGTACGAGCAAACTTAGCAAGAGGGTACAGATATCAATATCTATGAGCCAAATTGTTCTTCTTATTCCATAGTTAAAATAATTCAAATCAAACTCTCCATACATCTGATCGGGTATCACTACTGTCAGCCTCATTTTGAGTCAAGTCGGGAAAATCTGTTCACTGTGATTCATAATGTAAAAGTCATATTCTTAGGTTATGTTATAGATTGCCAAAAATATAATATTCTTTCACTGCTTAGAAAATAACATTTTTTATTTTGACACAATGTCATATGAATATCACAGTAACTATGGAAAAATATTGAAATATACTGACATCACTAATATCAATGTAGTTATGACGCAAACACTAGCATAGTCATGGACAAAGTTATCACATAATTTTATATATTTCCGTTTTGTCCAGGATCTTTCCATGCTGGGTACAAATTTAAAATTTAAAAAATTTTTTTGACTTAAATTGAATGTAAACAGATACAAGGCATTAACATGACAAAATGTCACCACCTAAAACAATTTGGTCAATTTAAAGCAAGTTGGAAAATACCTTTTGACCTTAAGAAGGTTTTTGAAGATTTGAGCTTCTGGGATCCTGTAGATGATTTTGAAAAAAGAAATTGTTCAATCTGAAGCAAGTTGAAAAAATACCTCTTTGACTTTTTTTGACATTGAGAAGGTCATTGAAGGTCAAATGTCAAATGTAAAGTCAGATTTGAACTTCTGAGAACATGTAGATGATTTTGAAAAAAAATTAAGTAAATTTGAAGCAAGTTGAAAAAAGACCTTTTTGACCTTGAAAAGGTCATTGAAGGTCAAATGTCAAATCTAAAGTCAGATTTGAACTTCTGAGAACATGTAGATGATTTTGAAAAAAAAATTAGTTAACTTGAAGCAAGTTGAAAAAAGACCTTTTTGACCTTGAGAAGGTCATTGAAGGTCAAAGGTCAAATCTAAAGTCAGATTTGAACTTCTGAGAACTTGTAAAGTCAAATTTGAACTTCTGAAAAGATGTAGATGATTTTGAAAAAAAAATTTGGTCAATTTGAAGCAAGTTGAAAACAGACCTTTTTGACCTTTTTTGACCTTGAGAAGGTCATTAAAGGTCAAATGTCAAATCTAAAGTCAGATTTGTATTTCTGAGAACATGTAGATGATTTTGAAAAAAAAATTCGTCAATTTGAAGCAAGTTGAAAAAAGACCTTTTTTACCTTTTTTGACCTTGAGAAGGTCATTGAAGGTCAAATGTCAAATCTAAAGTCATATTTGAATTTCTGAGAACATGTAGATGATTTTGAAAAAAAAATTTAGTCAATTTGAAGCAAGATGAAAAAATACCTTTTTGAACTTTTTTGACATTGAGAAGGTCATTGAAGGTCAAATGTCAAATCTAAAGTCAGATTTGTATTTCTGAGAACATGTAGATGATTTTGAAAAAAAAAATTCGTCAATTTGAAGCAAGTTGAAAAAAGACCTTTTTTACCTTTTTTGACCTTGAGAAGGTCATTGAAGGTCAAATGTCAAATCTAAAGTCATATTTGAATTTCTGAGAACATGTAGATGATTTTGAAAAAAAAATTTAGTCAATTTGAAGCAAGATGAAAAAATACCTTTTTGACCTTTTTTGACATTGAGAAGGTCATTGAAGGTCAAATGTCAAATCTAAAGTCAGATTTGAATTTCTGAGAACATGTAGATGATTTTGAAAAAAAAATTTAGTCAATTTGAAGCAAGTTGAAAAAAGACCTTTTTTACCTTTTTTTGACTTTGAGAAGGTCATTGAAGGTCAAATGTCAAATCTTAAGTCAAATCTAAAGTCAGATTTGAATTTCTGAGAACACGTAGATGATTTTGAAATTTTCTTTTAGTCAATTTGAAGCAAGTTGAAAACAGACCTTTTTGACCTTTTTTGACCTTGAGAAGGTCATTGAAGGTCAAATGTCAAATCTTAAGTCAGATTTGAATTTCTGAGAACACGTAGATGATTTTGAAAAAATTTTTTAGTCAATTTGAAGCAAGTTGAAAACAGACCTTTTTGACCTTTTTTGACCTTGAGAAGGTCATTGAAGGTCAAATGTCAAATCTAAAGTCAGATTTGAAGGTCAAATGTCAAATTTAAAGTCAAATCTAAAGTCAGATTTGAATTTCTGAGAACATGTAGATGATTTTGAAAAAAAATTTAGTCAATGTGAAGCAAGTTGAAAAAAGACCTTTTTGACCTTGAGAAGGTCATTGAAGGTCAAATGTCAAATCTAAAGTCAGATTTGAACTTCTGAGAACAAGTAGATGATTTAGAAAAAAATTGAAGTCAGTCTAAACAGTATTTGTTAAGTTATAGGAAGTTGTAAGAAATTGTTACAGACGCCAACCGCCGGACGCCAACCTCCAACCGCCGGACGCCAACCGCCGTCGCAAAAAAAACGGAGACCATAACAATATGTCACCACTTTTGGTGGTGACATAATAATAACTACTTCAAGTGCTAAATAATAAACAGATTTTGAATAGAGTGCAGTGAATAGTTGATACATAGACTAGTTACAAGATAACTGAGGGACAGAAACGGCCATTTCTATTGCATTATACTGTTAAGATAGTAGATACACTTTGATTTAACATATAATCCTTCTTCAAAAGTCATGTAATACTAATTTATAATACTAATTATGGCAATGTTTAAAATGCAAAATAGAGTAGAAAAGAATGGAATCAGCAAGGAATAAAGTAAACAGCTATATAGTCAATACTCTAAATTGTATAAAAACTTCAGAAAATCAGATATTTCATTCAAATTTTAGAGAAATTGAGTGAAATGTGAATGACTCTACTGAGAAATTTAAAGTGTGAGACTCCAAGCAGATTGGAGGACATCACAAAATGTAATAGACAATTTGCAATACAAATGTGTGTTGAAATATTTTATCTAGCGTCATAAAAGCCTTTCCATTCCCAGAGGAAAAGTTTCACAATGCAAATGGCACATGGTCGCTATGGAGACAATTTTCCTTCATCTAGTTTTATTGGCTCTAGCTTCGGGAAGATGTTACATTGCAATAAAAAGTGACGCTCTTACAAATATGTCATTATATACATCGCATTAAGCATGAAAACAAAAATCTATCAAAACACATATTAAGCTAAAACAAGTGTGATGACCATGATAAATACACAACGGAATACATGAATTAAAACGCAGATTTGAAAAGCTTATAAAGGAGATGGTAAAATATAATTTTCATTATGTTACGTCTGCTAGAGATATGCCATAAAGCGGGACTTAATCAGGCCTGCCACTAAGTGTGCCTAATTTTTCATCAGATCAATGTACCGTGCAACTGAAAAGGGAAGTATTAATATACCCTCAGATAAGGCATATGAAGATCTTTTAATGAATATTCTGCAGAGCTTTCTCCAGAATTTCTATTGGGACAAAATCTTGCGCAAATTTATCAAGGGTGATTCAAAATGAGAGAATTGCATTGGTTACTTTATATCCTCTGTTTTAATTTGTTTATTATTTATTCAACCTTCACTTGTAGAGTATTATGTTAAGAACAATGTAGAACAAACATATCCATGCGTTACACAAGAACACAACACAATCATTAAATTGGTACTTCTGTTCAATTTGACGAAACAACAAAATTAAATGTCAGAGAGAGCACAATTCTGTTAAGACTGGAGGTCAGCTAAACAGTGAAAATACAATGAAGATATACATCTTGATTTTGACGAGTACACCCCCCTAAAAAAGTTAAGCTACACCAACTCCCCAAATCAGACCACTTATTAAGCCTGTATATTTCCAGCAATTTGATATCTAACAAATTCATCAAACAACCAATTTTAACAGACTTTTATTAGACTCTTAAACAACATTTTTTAGTTGGGGGTCTTGGTTAACATATTTTTGACAGGGAGTGTATATTGACAGTAATAGAGTGCTTCATATAATCTAGTGCTCATATGATAATTAGGAACATTATGTTATATGTATTAAAGATTAAAAGCTTTGAGAATATTGGAGTCAATTCCTTAGAGCTGACACTAAAAGTTTGTCGAAAGTGTGAAATGTTTTTCGAACCCTGACGGACTGAAAATTGGAGAAAATGAGAAACTAAAATGCTTTATTTCCCCTCGAGGAAAATTATCCTGTCTGTAAAATAAAAGTGAATTTGGTCAGCCCATGTGAGATACTGAAATAAAGATTCAATAACTCTTTATGATAACCAGTGTGAATTTTACAAGAATAATCAACAATCTACTTGCAATGTCAATGTCTATTGCAATGCCTATTATAACCTGTTAATGGTATTCTGGTTTAGGCTAGTTAAAAATATAGATTTCATATTTATTACCAGATATATTGATATTTATAGTGATATTATTTTTCATCTACATAAAGCAATTGTTTAAACAACAGGGGTCGTGGTATCCTCTTAGTCCTCTTTATCCTGCAAAATTGAATGAATGAGCTATCAATTTCCTGTATCATTTCCGGGAATATATAAAGATTTGTATAAGGGCCAAAATATTTGATATTAGTTTCATTTGCAGCAGGCAACAGGCGATTTTCACCGGTTGTTTTCACAAAATTGCCTGTTGTTCAACTTTTCAATGTTAAAATTATGATTTCCATTAATTTTGCCTGTTTTCATTTATTTAGCCTGTTGCGAGAAATTCTAGTGAAACCCCTGATATAGGCAAACCCCTGATATAGGCAAAACACATTTCTTTTAACACATCATTTTTCTATTATTAATAAGTGATGATAAAAAAGTACAAGACCCCCAAACTATGAGTCAAAAGGCCTCATAGAGAGCTCCGATACATCCTCCCTGTTATTATAGAGTACAAGAATATATCTCATTGAATGTTTAGTCAGGCTCAAAGACACATTCTGACCTCCCTAACCCTACTATCACACCAAACTAGTTCTCACTACGTTCTCAAAAACGGGCTTCAACTGTGTACGAACGGACTGGACCTACTAAGAACCGTTTGGGATCTATTAACAAACTTCATCGAACGTACTCGAACGGGTAGGTCCTCTAGAACTTAGACAATGCTCAAAATGTTCTCATGGTCGTCACGTTCTACAATTAGAACGAGTGACAACGTACTAACGACGAGCTGGACGTACTACGAACGGAACCGTCGTACTTCAATCCTACTAGGGACATTTTAACAACGAGTTGAACTGTCTGAGGACGTGTTGAGAACGAGGTAGAACTAATTGCAAACGGGTTTAAACTGATTAAGAACATATTTAACACTGCTTATGAACGAGTTAGCAAAAATATAGCTATCACACCAAACAAGTTGCCACTGCGTTCTTCAAAACTGTGTGCGAACGGAATGAACGTAGCTGCAACTTTCTAAGGTCTACTTACGAACTTTATGATCGTTCTCAGACGGGAATGTGATTTTAGAATTTTGAATCGATTCAAAATTCGATGGCGACCATAACGTTCTGTAATCAGGTCATGTTGACCTTCTAGACTAAGGGACGCGTTCTACTACGTTGCACACCGACGTGGTGCGACCTGAACGAACTGCGAACGAGAAGGACGTATTGAAGACTGTTTAAGAACGAAGAAGCTAATTATGTCAGACATATTTCCCGACCACAGCCAGATTGAGCCCGTTTTACGACGTTTTCATAGGACTGGCAAGAACGGGTAAGAACGAGTTTGGTGTGATAGGGGGGTTATCACCAATTTTCTTTCAAGATCTATTCTAAAAATCATTTTTCCTATTTCCTGTTTACAACAACTCAGAAATGTAAATAATAAAGAGAACATGGAACTGAGGGATGTGGAACAATTCATAAAATAATAATAATAATTATCCACATAGATTTTGGATTCATTATCTTTTAAATGAAGAGTCTACTTGTCTTGCATTTCTATAAAATATAGAGCATGAACAATCCTGTTATTAATTATACGCCTTGGTAATTCCAGTTTTTCCACTCTATTTGACGTTTCAAAACATGACAATTGCGAGTTGCAACATATTCTTTATAAAGTATGCTTTATGATAATTACCTGTAGAAACTTCTTAGTGCCTGGTTGTTCACAGTGGTATTCAATTATAGATTTATGTGTCCCGTTTAACACTGATTCAGATGCCTTATTTGCAAGCCCAGTTGAATACACAAATATTTGGCTATGCTGTTGCATGTAATGAGAGTCCGATGTGCTCGTCTGTGGCTGGGCAGCGGCTGGTTGCTGTAGCAACGGTGGCTGAGGATGCAGTCCGTTTGGGGTTTCGGTACTGTCTATATTCTCCGCACTATATATATCTCCCGGGTTAGATTCTGGAAGTATATTCAGAATTTAGTGAATAAGCAAACAAATGAATAACAAATACGAGACAATAAAAACAAATTATCTTGTTAATATTGACAGAACAAGTATAATAGAGCATCGTAACATCATGCTTACTCAAAGCTTAACAATTAATGGTTGATTAGCACAGCAGAATAAACTCAATAGTCTGGATGAATTGTGTTCAAGATACAGGGACATACATGTAACCATAAACTGAGTGAAGTTCAACTTCCTGTATAATATTATATACATTTTATTCATTCCATAAAATAATATCTTGAAATAATGTTTATTTTATTAGAAATAATATGTATTTTATTATTTTACCTTGTTTTACTTCTGATTTAATTTCAGGCTTTGCTTCTTCAGTCTCAGTTTTTGGCGTATTACCTAAAACAAGTAACCAAAGCATTAATAATTATATACCATTTGGAATAACATAATGAAATAAATAGATTCATACTCTTTATATTCTCAAATAAATCTCTGAACCTCTGAGTTTTATCAAATAAACCTCTGAACTCATCAAGCCAATCAGAGAATGGCATGATTAATTGTAGAATCATTTGTCTTTGTGAGAGGGTAATGTTCAAATTGGTGAGACCAGGGTGTAAATATACAAACATGTGCAGAACAGATCTATTACAATCTATTATGAAAGCATAATCAATATATGAGGGATCTTATGCGGAAGGACGATACCCCAAATTGCATCATAATAACTGTCGATGCTGCAAGCACTGAAAGAATTAATTTTTCAAAAATGAGAGTTTGATACTCAGAATATAATTTTGGAAGATTGAAAACACAATTATAATCTCAGAAAATAGTACTCATTCAATAATACACCTGAAAGTATATACTACCCATCATCATATAGTAAAATCCAAAGTGAAACATCTATCCAGCAAACCACTAATGACTGAAATATATCTGATGCATGTGATACACATAGCAGATGACATTAAGATCATATTCATACCGCCTGTATATTACCCTACCATGCTTAACATAATTCCTTTTGCTAACCATTTTTGCGCATTTTTCTCTAGAATTTGAATTAACTTCATAATTCTTTGACATATCTTAAAAAATTAGAGAATTACATAATATACAAGCAAACTGATTTCTGTTTCTGTTCACTGTTTTCTAGTTGATTTCCAATTTAAAATACAACAATCAAAACACCCAAGCAAGGGTAAATTGCCTAGATATTGCGAACAAGAATTTGAGACCACTCAACTGAACTAATTGATTGTAATGTTTATAGTAGAACAATCTAGGCACAACATACTTTTTACATGATATCACAATGACAAAATAATCCAGAGTTATAAATTTTACAGTGTTCCCAATAACTGACTTGTCACACATATGGACACTTGTTGATCTAAAAATGTCACTGTCATTTACTTACACAATTTTCTTCATGATTTCAGCTAATTTTCTTTACTACCTAGCTACCTCAACTTCATTCATTTTCTCCTTATTTCACTCATTTTCTCTAATTTGCATTCTAAATTGATATTGGGGGACATTACTCAAATCAAAACTTACCGTTAATTATTGTATCTTGAGATTCCACGCTCGAGCTCTCGTTTTTCACATTTACATTTGGTTCACTTTTAACTTCTTTCTTCACTTCGTTGGAAACTTCTACATCGCTACTTGCCATAATTTTAGAGGAATCATTTAACATTTCCGGATTATTCACCGCTTCACGTTTCAAAATGGTGTCTCGACTGATTTCCAGATTTTCAGTCTCTGGGTAGAGAAACTCCGCCTGAAGTAGAAATATAAAGTAAAATTAGTGACTTTGTTAACATTACATAGTACAAATCAATCCATTTTAAATCAACATTATATATGTAAACCTTCAGACAAAAGGATATGTAATAAAAGTTTTTCAAAGAGGATGTCCGCCTGAAGCTGAGTGATAAAGTTACATAAGACTGTGAATATGTCAACAAGATGTAGTTTTTTCATTTAATCCATTCAAATCAACATTAAATCCCTTGGCAATCTTGTCTCTCCTCTTTTAATTTGAGTATGAAGACAAATATTTCCATCGAGTCCTCATGCAGATATTTGTGTTATGCAGCCTTGCACCTGCATTACATGGAGGGGCAACAGTGTACTAGATGCAGATAGAGGTGTATGTATGTTTATTTTAACGCACAATCCCAATAATATATCAGTGGGTTACTTCTTCATTTTCTTTAGACATTTTGCCATATCACTGGTCCAGTAGACTCACCTCTAACTTGGCAGAGACCAATGGAAATAATTCAGTTGTCAAGTAATCATGCAAGAGTTTTTCGTTCACGTTCGAGGTTTTTCGGAATTGTTTCACGAATGTTTGCCAATCTGGAAGCGTGATGCAAATAGTCTCAAAGTCCTTTTTACCTGATTTTTTGGAACCCGCTTCTTTATATAGTCTCAAATCTGTAATCAGAAAATAAACATTAGGGCTTAAAGTGAATGAATTATTAATGATGAAGTAAATAATAAGTATGACCTATAATTCCAAGGTGACCCTTATAAGAAACAACAATATAAAAGCACTTAAGGTTGAACTTCAATATATTAAAACAGAATCTCTGAAAAAGACCCAAAAATTCTGACTTGAAATATAAGCCTTCATTTATTTATAAGTCACTTTCACAACTGTGTGCTTGACAAAAAATACAATAATCTAACACATAAGATAGAACTAAGTAATATAATAAGTACATGAAAAATGAAATATCATCTTAACCTAATATCAACAATGACAGATGACATATTCTGTCTGAAAACAATGCAAGTATGAGACTATACTAATTCTAATATCAAAGCATACGACTCCCAGTAGGGTGGAGTGACTTCTCACACCAATACTCAGTGCAGCATTTATTTTTGTAAATTAATATTCTATAAACATCACACAAACACATTTCAAATATAAATTATCATCTGAATTTGAAAAATGCAATGAAGGATTAAGGTGGGTCTGGAACAAGACTTCTATAGCAATATTTCACACAATCAATTTGAAACCAAGTCTACTCTGGTCACCTTCATTGAGAAAAGTTCAAATACTCAAAGCATGATGGGCAACTTTGAATATAAATTGAATACAGTGAAACCTGTACATACGTCACCACATCTCAATGTGAACACTTTTTCTGTCTTAATTTTGATACCTCCCATAGACTCATATATAAAGATAACCTAATAATTGAACACCAGTCCCAGTGCCATTTGGATGAGACAGGCTTAACTGTACTCTGCTCTGGATTAGATTCCTCTTATGTTAGACTTGAAGAGCAGAAAAGTTAAACCACAAAAGCACAGAAAGACATTTCAACCTCTGATTTGACACTTACTCCTACACTAAAGACACCAACGCGATCCCATAGCTTACAATATATGTAAATGCCACTTTCCAAAGAATCTTTGCATTAAGGAGGTGTTTTAGGAGACAAGCTTGCAATATTTTACCAGAAGGGGTGCTTTTAAGTCAAGTCCAGACTGTATCTCTTGCAGACTGCCTAGTATGAAATATATGAGGAAGACAATAGAAGAGGATATTTTCAAGGGTACAGAGACAATATTTTAAGTTTTAGTTTGTACAGAAAAGGTCAAGTCTATCCATACTCAGTACTTAATGACTGTGATTTTTCATTCTGCTATTTTAACAGAGATATCATTACATTATTCTACAATATTGCCTTGAAGTCTGCATTATTGCGGGTAACTTGTATTCTACATACAAAATTAGGATTGTAATCTTAAATTTTGCAGTTTTATGCCATACATCTTGAATCCAAACCCTACTTTTAAAATTTAATCAAACTAAAAAAATAAATTTTTAAAAGTGGGGGCCTACTTGTAGAATATGAGGCCTAAAAAGCCTATATATGTATGTAGGCCTAAAATGAAAAGGAAGACACACCCAGACGTAGGGCTTCCACAATAAACACAATACATGTACAATATACTTATTTTGGATGAGAATGTAAAATGTTCTTGAAAATGAGGAAATAATGTGGAAACTACTGAAATTAACAAGGAATAAAGTCAGAGAGCAAGAAGTTGTGCTAAACTATACAGAAATGTAATAAAATGAGATATTTCATTCAAATTTTGAAGAGAAATGGTGTGAAATAAGTAGAAGCAGACGGAGATTTAAGAAAATGAGAAGGATTTATGTGTTTGTATATAGCAATCAGTAACTTACAAGCACAAGTTAATCAACAAACAAAAATGGTTCAATCAACCCGAAAAGAATATCTTCTAAATGATACTAATATATTGATTTCATACCCTATTCTAAATTATTTCCAGAAATGACTTGGTTTAAAATGAGGAGCAACTGAAATACTATAACAAATATGGAGGAAAAGCATTATAGCATGTGAATATAGCAAGTATATCTTAAAAACCCCACTACGTAGTCTAAGCATGATCAAAAAGGCACACAACAGTCACACAACTAATATAAACTATTAATCTGCAGAAAACTATCCATACAAAAGAAAAATCCATCATATTTAAAGGCCTGCATTTTTGTGTAATCCTTTAATAAGACAAATGAAATATACCTTTTATATTGTATTGTAGCTCTCGAGATTTATTTGTTTAGAACCACTTCAAAGTGTTCAATTTAAAAAAAATAATTATGACAATCAATATTTCTAAAATCAATTTGAGAAATCTAACCCATTTAATATGTTTGGCATAATTATTAAATGAAAAACTCACTTTTAATGATCTCATTTTTTACCTAATGTAAATGTTTAATCGACATTTGATATGAATGGGAAATTATACACGAGATAACCTTATTGAACAACAGTTAAAGATATTATCATATTTTGACTCTTCTACCATTTGTTCATTGTTAATACTGACACAACAACTAATCAATATTAACTTTGCATTTTTTCATATAAAGGAAAATCAGTTTTAGTAAACACTCCTGTCTGCGTCTGGTAAAACTCATTTACATAGTGACACCATTAAAAGACTCTCTCTCTCTCTCTCTCTCTGTAGGGCAAGTGAACACTGAACACCTACGTGACAGGGAATACTTGTAACTTGAAGCGTTCAGATTTATATTCAGATTCAGATCTATATTCAGATTTTACTACTAGGTGGACCTTGTCTGAGATTCAAGACTTCATCCTTGGTCAAAGGGTATTTAACTTCTTTCTTTTGAATTGAGTAATATATGAGGTCCTTTGAATGAAGGATGTAAGACTTAACTTCAGACCATACTATGTAATACACATGTTTAATTATATACATTGACATTGTGATCAGTCTCATCTGAATTTTTATCTTTACTTTGAAATGGCATTTGCAGAACTGCGTTGGTCATATCCAACGTATACTGTATGACGAGATGTGCACATAAAACACTGATGTATGCCTCTCTTTGAAACATAAATAAACCTTTACTTCTACATAGAAAGAATCCCCATAGATTCTTGTACGAGAAAATCTATATACACAACTTCCGAGACTATAATAAAGAAGAATATGTTGATTCATAAGCAATTATCAAAGTGATTAAAAGGGATGACCTATGAAGAAACTACATGGTGTCAAATGATAATGATTTTTAAAAGGATATTCATTTTTAATCGCTGTTAAAGTGCTAATTTTGTCATAGTGAATAAAGTATCTTGAACAAGGAAATAATTTCCGTGTATAGATTTATTGGTGCGTTTCTAAGAATGTCTCAAAAGATGAACTTAATATTGTATTGGTGTACTTTATTGTTACAAAAAGAGCCTTGAATGATTATTGTATTTTGTATTGATTTGGACCTTTCAGTTTGAGTCTTTTGGAAAATGTGAGATGATTTCTACCGATTTCCCTGCATAAGCTACTGCAATGAACAAACTATTGTGAATTTATATGGTATAAACTCAGATTGGCCTTATTTGTGTGAATTTTCCAGAATAAAACATTAATCAAAGAGTAATGGATAGTCCCCATTAAGCAGAAGAGGTTAGGGTATCCCAGAAATCAAAGTAATGAAGGGTATCATTTCCCAATACAAAGCACATAAAAGAACATCTCCACATTGAACCTGACATTTGATATTAAAAATCAAAACATGCACAAAAATCTAAAAGCGATCCATCGAGGGCAATCTTAAATTAAGGAAGCTCAAATAAATCTTTCTAATCAAATTCTATCTATAATATTATATGCGAACAAAATGACATCATACCTAAACTAATCCATAAGACGATCCCCTGTCTCGCCTTTTATATTAAAATACAAATATCATGATATCTACTATACTCTAAATTCTAAAAAGCATCCAAATTATGGTTAGATATGAATGACAAACCATATATTGAATAGAGGGATTCACTTACCATCAAAGTACCAGTATGTATTGTTGAAGGCATCTTGGCCCACATTGATGGCTCTCTGGAAGTACATAGATAATACAACCATTAAAATCAACATACAATATACAGTATATGACAATTTCATATCAAGTGATTTTAGGAATTGCATTTAATAATGATGATGAGAAACTGTTACTTATAGCTGAATATGTGTACATGATGCATTAATAGGGACAATACTAATAATATAACACTCATCATACTTATGCATTTTCTCTCTTGCACTTCATATTAACAATACATGTATTAACAATTACTTCTTTGCAGTGCTGTATATGATTGTAACTCTCTTTTATCAAAGAGGCAAATAAATTATACAACTTATATATTCCCCAATTTTACTTTTTTAAATTCTAATTTAATCCCTTACCTTTCAAAATAACTTGCAAATTAACAATTTGGTATTTCCCAGTTTTATTTAATTACAATAAAACATCATTTTCTGATTGTAACCTTTTTCAATATATTTTCAGCGAGTTCACTCAGTGTGATTATAGTCAATATAAAAGACTTCAACCAATGATCATAGGCGATCAGGTTTGGGAAAATTAGCAAAAAATGTTCTAATAAATCCAAGCAGCTTTTGAAAGACAAATGCCATCTGATTTGATCCCAAATTAACCATACCTCTAACGAGTAAACATAAAATATTGCTGATTATTTTGCTTTCAAATCTGGAGGAATTGATGAAAATGCCAACATGAAAAATGATGTTTTTAAGTCAATCTTCATTTCAGTATATCAGATATAATACGGTAGTTAAATATGAAACCATTAAGTCGATTTATTAGACCCACAGCATATTACACGTTTAATGGATCCGGAATGCATTTGAAGTCATTTTGAGTACGACAAATGATCCAATTTTGGAGTTTACATTAACTCTAAACATCCAGGATCCACTTTTTGAGGGTTCTCCAAACAATAGTCACAGATTCACTAATGGAGGTGTTTGACTCACACAGGTGATTAACTTTAAAAGGTATTTGACACACAGAGGTGTTTAACTTGAGGTGTTTCATATTTAGAGAAGTTCAATTCGGAGAGTAATGTTTGACTCAATGAGGTATTTGGCTTAAAAAAGTGTTTGACTTCAAGAGAGGTTTGACTCACTTCACACATAGAAATGTTGGACTCATAGTAGGCTAATAGGTGGTGTTTTACTTACAGGGGTGTTTAACTTAAAGATGTATCTGACTCATATAAGCGTTTAACTTAAAGAGGTATCTGACTCATGTAAGCGTTTAACTTAAAGATGTATCTGACTCATGTAAGCGTTTAACTTAAAGAGGTATCTGACTCATGTAAGCATTTAGCTTAAAGAGGTATCTGACTCATATAAGCGTTTAACTTAAAGAGGTATCTGACTCATAAAAGCGTTTAACTTAAAGAGGTATCTGACTCATGTAAGCGTTTAACTTAAAGAGTTATGACTTGGTATTTGAGAGTGAGTTTATTTCAAAGAAGTGTTTTACAAATAGTCATGTTTAACTTTAATAAGACTTTTAATATGAGAAACCTCATGATCATGATGGCTTGATGAATTAGAATCCTATAAAGAGAAAAATGTAAAATCGGAAATGAATAAATCAAACAGCCAATACTACGGACTCTAAACAATGAAATAACCCCAGAAAAGCAAATATTAAATATAGCCTACTTCATTCAAAGATTGGAAAGAAATAAAGTTGTATCTAACAGATGAGATATATTTAGGCACAGAGCAGCTTTATAGAAAATCTGTATTGTAATAGGGAGTTTTCAATGTTATTGAAGAACATCTTCCATGCACCTTTTGCAAACACCTTTCATATAGCTGTCAATTCAATATTTCTCTCGCCACATGATAAAAACAACAACTCTAAACCTGATAAAATAGACTACAACTTGATGCATCTTTAATGTTTTCCTGAGTTAATTCGAGACTAACATTTCTTCACTTGTGAGCCCCTCCTTCTGTTGAACACCTCCATTTACTTGTGAACATCTCTGGTCTTAGCAGAGCAGTCCCTTGGCATTAATATTCTCCATGAAATTATGAAGGAATGTGATCTAATAACAGGATGACATAGGGGGAAAACAATGTTAATATTTTTCACTAGATTCCAAGAGAGCAAAATCTTCGGCTTATTTTTTGAGTTTAGATTCTCTACTCTAGCCCCTGAAATGAATGAGAAAATTGGTGTAAAGGAGGAACCTCTTAGGATTTAAACCCCTTTATATATAGAATCATTCAAAGTGCAAGTCTCACAAAAAACGTTAATTGAAATACTGCAGAAAAGTCATGCTGCACACACTGCCATTATACCATACTTCCATACAAAGAAACGATACTTGGAGTGCCAGTACAATACCTTAGAATTCATCATAATGAAATCTATAGCTCAATATAGGCACATATAAAGTTGAGATGAATAATGCCACGTGATGATATATCACAATATAAGACCTCAAAAACCACATTTAATATACTATACTTTACTACACAGAGCTCGCCTTACAAATCATTGCCCTTTTCACTCATTGATGTCATTTTTAAAAAATAGAGTTTCATATATACTAATTGCTAAGCTCTGGGTTTCACAGTGACAAATCATCTGAAATCTCCCAAGAGGCTTTGTAACAGTGGCTCTAAATTTAGCTTTTCTTAATAAAATTGAAACAGAATCCCTAATGTTCTTGTATTATTTCCATATAATTCAGCATATACATAGTTGATTCTACTGTAAAAAACTCTATTTTCTATTTTAGAATAGGACTCACATTGCATTTTATTATGGTGTATATCATATTCATGATTTCCTTATGAAATGATACAAAACAAAAGATATAAGTGTTCTATACTTTATAAATGAGAACCTATATATTCTAAAAGCCAAAAATAGTTTGCACAATTTCAATGAAATCTCTAAAATTGCTTAAATTGAGATACCCAAATGTGAAACATGTCAGAATATTTAAGACAATAACTAAGACAAATAGAGATATAACATACTATTATACCTCACAAATTCAAGAAATTCAGACATCCATTCAAATACATAAAGATATATATTAAAAGTAAGCTTTCTAGAGTGTCATTTAAAAACATGTGTAGATAAATATGCTTAGTGCAAAATTAACAGACTACGGTAGCTCGCATCCTTTTCAATTGAAAGCTCATATCTATTCAGTTATAAATAGATTATAACAAGGATCTATCCAGACTGAAAGAAAGGCAATATTGGAGTCACATAGGTTCAAAAAACGAATAATATCCTTTACAATTCGTTAGAATTCACTTGAGATGTTTATATTAATATCACTTATTGAAGTGGAGCCATTCAGAAATCTTCATACTGTTGAGAATGGGTCGTTCTATTGGTATGTAAAAAGGCGTCTAATTTCTTCAGTGACTATACCCAAAACAATCTGCCTTTAATATGCTTCTTCATTGTGTGCCATCTCCTTTACGCCCTTTCTATTGAAATAAGAGTACGAAAAGTACAATATAATATCTAATTGTTTCTGTATTAATTATCGTTTTAACAGATTTAAACTCTTCAGATCATTTAGCTGATGTAATTCAATATTTAGCATAGCATGAGATTCATACAGTAGATTAAATGCTAATATTTCATTATGTTGGTAAATGTCACAATTACCTGTGTATTCTGTTTGACACCGTCCCCTCCTCTTTAAAAAGCCATCGTGTAAACAAACAAAATTAGCAGCTACATTTTTCCGATATGTATACATCCTTATAGACTTCATAGCGTATTCCTTATTCATGTGTTTTGAGCTGGCGTATTAAATACTTTAGGGCGTCGTGACCTTGAGTCAATCAATTCATCTCTAGCAAATACCGAAACTTTAAGTAGCAGACGACAGTTCTGTTTACAGCCTCATTCTGAGTATTTACAAAAGATATTGCAAACTGAATGGAAGTATACCCATGTTAAAATCTCACATTTTTCCTCCTTTTTTCATCCTTTTTCTCTTTAAAATCTATGAACTGAGTGATTTTCTTAGGTTTCACAACAAGTTAGAGTCTTTACTACAAGACTGTTTACTCGATTCCTTGCAGATTCCTCTCTCTTTTTATCAATTTCATGTTTCAAAAGAGGACCATTGTAAAATTCTATCCACAGGTCGAAACATCTTGAATGTATGTTTATTGATGTCCGATATTTGCTGTATAGATATTGACGCACAAGTTTATTCCTTTTGTTCTTAGTATTGTGTAGCTATAAATAATGTATGAAGAAACGACAATAAGTAAAGATGGTATATGATCTAATAAATTCCATCAGCATTGCACCTGATAGACCTGACATCTAACTTACAATTTCTCCTTCATGAGCAGAGATTTCGTTATCAACACATTACTGTATGATACAATTTCATCATAATTTTTCATCATCAAAATTGAATGCATTTTGATCAGTACATCAAAATATCACTTTAAGTTCATGTGAGTCCTTGCTTTATCATGGAAATTGACACAGTTATTATGCGATTGATTCTCCATTCATTGAGCTAATCATTTATGTAGGCTACTAGATTATGTGACAAGCAACATTATGTTCCTATATGATATACTTGTAGCCCCTGGAATAAACTATCACAGCAGCCATGATTCAAAATGTTAGATAAAATGAAAAATGAAAAATGAAAAATAAAGTATAAATATCGAGTATATATATTATTTACTTGATATTATATGAAATTCTACAATATCAGGTCCTTTATTCAAATTTAAGAGTGAAATCGGGCAGAATGAGCATGTCTCAAGTGACATGTGAAAAGTGGTGATATTTACAGACCATTCTCTGATGTTGTAGCATTCCGTTATTCTTTACTTTTGAGCTTACCCTTACAGGGAATGTCACATTATCATGAAATTAAATTATTCGATTTAATCTAATAATGTAATAAATTTGTGTGAAAATCCATGGTGAAACAGGAACACCAAAAATGAAATATGCAAATCTATATGTGCAAATCAACTTCCAATCTTTTGAAATAAATATCTAAATA